GTTATCATAATAATGGTTTGATTGAATATGAAGGATATTGGTGTGATGATAATCGATTTGGAATTGGAAAAGTGTATGATCGATCAGGCAAATTAATGAAAGAATGTGAATGGTATAACGGAATTGAATGTGATACTGAGTATGAAGGAAATGGTTCAGAACCATTGATTATCGGAATGACACAATTGAATCTGAGTGACAATTGTGTATTGGTTGATTGGGATGTTTCATTGTTGGATAATTTGGAATCAATCGAAATCGGTAATGAATGTTTTGAATCAGTGCAAACATTCAAAATCGATAGATTGAATCGATTGAAAACGATCAAAATCGGAAGCAATTCGTTTACTCACCAAAAGAAAAGCAGGGAAAGTGATACATCGAAATCATTCCACATATTGAATTGTGGATCATTGGAATCCATTCAAATTGGACCATATAGTTTCAGTGATTTTGCTGGAGACTTTGAATTGAAGAATCTGCCAGAATTACAATCCATTCAAATTGGCACAACTGGTTACTATGGAAGTAATTCATACAATTTCTATCATAGTTCATTTGTGATTCAAGGTACTGATATGATATTGAATATTTGGATAATGCATAGATCTTCCAAATCTACAATCCATCACATTAGGTGATGAATCGTTTTATTCCGGTATTTTTCAGATTAGAGGTATTGATTATTATTGATATGTAAGACGAGATCTTCCTAATTTACAATCCATTATAATTGGTAATGATTCGTTTTATTCTTGTTCATTTGTGATTCAAGGTATTTAGATTATTATTATATTCTTGAATGCATAGATCTTCCAAATCTACAATCCATTGCATTAGGTGATTATGCATTCAGTATGTCTATGTCGACAATAATTGAAAGTATTGAATGGATTTGAATGAATTGATAGATGTAGATCTTCCATCAATACAATCCATTCAACTCGGTTATGAAGCACTCGTTGGAAGTGGTGGTGATTCCTGTTCATTGAGAATGCGAAGTATGATCGAAATGATTTGTAATGATTGAATGTAGACTTACCAAATCTAACATCTATCGATTCTAAATGGTATAGTTTTCATTATCCTCGTGTAGTGACATTGGAAAGTATTTCTGAAAATTGAATATTGATAGTATTAGATATTCCAAATCTTCAAAGTGTCAACCTACGTAAATCATTTGAATATGTATATAATCCAATTGTAAACAGTAACTTTCTGTTTTATTATTTGAGTATAGATGTTTCTGAGTTGCTATTTCCAAACGTCTATCATATGGATTATGTTCAATCTATATATTCTTGTATTACTTCTATTATCCTTCCGAATTGGACATGTAATGATATTAATTATACTATTTTTGACTTCTCGCGATTTACACTAGTTGAATCAATCGAAATTGGCAATGATTGTTTTGGATCAGTACAATTATTTCGAATCGATGGATTGAATCGATTGAAAACCATCAAAATCGGAAACAATTCGTTTACTCACCAAAAGAATAGTAATGGAAATGACAAATCGAAATCATTCCACATATTGAATTGTGAATCATTGAAATCAATTCAAATTGGTGAATTTAGTTTCAGTGATTTTGCTGGAGACTTTGAATTGAAGAATTGCCCACAATTACAATCCATTCAGATTGGTAAAATACAAAGCAAGTCGTGTAATTTCCTCTATAGTTCATTTGTGATTCGAGGTATTGTTATGATATCGATTATTTGAATGATTAGATCTGCCAAGTCTTCGATCCATTACATTGGGTAATTGGTCATTTCATGATTCTTCATCAACGATAATAGAAAGCAATGATTGAATATGAATGAAATGATTGTTGTAGATCTTCCATCACTGCAATTTATTGAACTGGGTGAAGCTGCACTATGGGGATGTGTGAGTGATTCCTGTTCATTGATAATGCGAAGTATGAATGATATGATTCTTAATGATTTGCTTTGTAGATCTTCCAATTCTAGCATCCATAATTTCTGAAGGAGGTAGTTATTTTTATCCTCATTCAGTAACATTGGAAAGTACTTCTGAATATTGAAGAATGATAGTATTTAGATATTCCGAATCTTCAAAATGTCGATTTGCCTGATTCATTTATGGAAGTTTGTTCAAAATCAATCTCTAGTATTATGGATTGCTTTGGTTTCATTCATAGATGTTTCTTCCATTCTCGCTGATTGTGTCAATATCAATGATGATAATGATTCTGATTCTGATTATTGGTAAATCGATCATTTGATTTACACTCATCACTCCATTTAGTGATCCTTATGTGCTCAATTCCTGCTATTTCGTTTGTTCTAAATTCCCTATCATCATTCTCTGGTCATTGATTAATAATCCAGCTGTCGATTGACTCATTTCTATTTTCACAATCAAGATTGGTTTAGCTAGCTCGTTCCTGTCCTCTCTATTATCGGTGATTAGAATGTTTATCTGAAGTTTATGAATAGTAGTACAGCTTTTTCCGATTCAATCATATTTGGTTAAGTGTTCAAATTAGATCTATTAATGTTTGATAATTCAATGTCTTGATTCTAAACGATTGAATGACGACTATCAAGTTGATGAACTGGGTTGTACTGGATAGTTACATTCAATATCCATCTTCTCTAACTATCTGCCTAACACATATCTTACCTTTCAACCCAAAGAAATAGAACGCATTTAACAAACAATCCACCGTGTTCCTTTTCTATTTACCTTCTGTATAGACTGTATCTTTCCTTTTCCATTCTTCCCTGGCACATTCTTTTTCATTACCGTTTCTTTCTTCTTAGAAACTTCCTTCTTCTCTGCAACCTTTTTCCCTGATTCCTCCTTTTCCTCCTGTTCAGGTCCCTTCACTTTCTGTTTGCTCTCCTCATTCTTCTTCTTTTTCTTCCCACCGGCCTTTATCACATCGACCAGTCTGCAATATTCGTTCAGCAGTCTGCGACGAGGAAGCTTCCGGAAGTCCTCATAGCCCTCCTTCTGTCGATTATCCACTCTTTCTTTCGCCCATTCAAACACTTGCTCCAACACCTCCATAAACTCCTTCACACGCTCCACTCCGTCTTTTGTAGGAACACTATTCACACTGCGGAGCAGGTAGCGAAGCAGTCCCACGAACTCCAGTCGCTTATAGTTCTTTATCTTGCTCTCCTCTTCGCTCAGAATGACCTTGCCAAGCTGCGGAATCAGCGTCATGCACAGAAGCGGCGTGCGCGTGAACAGAAGTTCGAAGAAGCTGCTGTTTATATGGGAGTGTTTCTTCTCGAAGTCTGCGAGGACTGGCTGCAAAACGCGCTCGACGATCGCTCTGGCTTCCGAGAGACGAGCTGGATCTGCGAGAACGACGTGCTGAAGCGAGCGGAAATAGAGCGATAAGCACTCCGCGTTGCATTGCAGCACGCGTTTATGGAGAGCTGGATCGGCTGTGGAGCCTGCCAGCGATAAATCGACGAGTTTGCGCATCGCCTGCTCGGTTTTGTCGGCGGTGTCGAGGAAGCAGGAAGCGGGGAGCGAGCAGTTCTTCACGATTTTGTTGCGAAGAAGACCGAAAATGCGATTGGACAACGCGTTCTCTTCGCTCTCTTTCTACGACTCAACGAATCGAATCGAAGCGACCAGCGCATTCTGGCAGATATCAGCGAGCGACACGGTGAAGTTGCTGATCAACGCATGGTTCGGATGTTTCACAACGAAGCTCTCGACGAGGTCGATGATCCGCGATTTGAAAGTCGCCAGCTCGAGAGCCGTCGCTTTGCGAAGTTTGGCTTGATCCTGGCGAGTGCGAAGCACTTTGGCGATCGCGCGGTCGTCGAGTTTCATTCGCTTTTCGAAAGCGGGAGTCAACTAGAGGTAAAGAGAAGGGAAAACAACGACTTCTTGATCCCAATCCACGTCGGAATCTTCCTCGGGACCCGCTTCTTTCTCTTTCGAAGATTCATTTTCTTCACTGGATTCTATATCTTCGCTTTCTTCTTCTTCTTCTTCTTCTTCTTCCTCTTCTTTTTCTTCTTCTTCTTCTTCTTTGGCTTCACTTTCGTCTTCACTCATTTCAATTTCCATCTCTTCGCTTTCTTCTTCTCCATCTTCTTCCTCTTCGTCTTCTTCCTCCAAACTTTCGTTCGTCCAGAACACTTGCAGCATATCGTTCACATCCTCCTCCGTCAAATCCTCGCACAGCCCTCCAAACAGCTTCACCGCGTTGTCTCGCAGCACTTTGCTGCTCGTTCGAAGCAGAATCAGCACCACTTCCAGCAACACCGCGATCGGCCGCTCGTCATCGCGGCGTTTCGTCGCCGAAAACTGCTCATAACACTCCAAAACATCCGGAATGAACTGCGAATACTCCGGTTTAAAGATCTGCTCGATCGCAATGTTGATCAGCAGATTCGTAAACATCACTTCCTGCTTCGAGTCCTCCTTCTTTATCTTCTCCACCAGCGTCTCCACACTCGCCAGCAGCTTCGAACGGACCTCCGTTTCCCCTTCCTCCCACTCATGAACCAGCGAAACGCCCTCCGTCGATCGAATTCGCGCCTCCAGTCGCTGATACTCCTGCAGCACCAAGTACACATACAGCTCCTTCTCCTTTGAAACACCCGCCTGCGATCCGTCCTCCGTCTTCTGCGCCAGGCTGCGCAGCACGGAGAACAAGAGCGACTGCGCGTGCGAACGGACCGCGTCGCTCAGCGCGGGCCGGCAGAACGACTTCAGATCGCTCAGGAAGTCCGCGTGGAGGAAATCACAGCGACTGACGTCAGCCTTCGATTGCTCAGTCGATTGCTCCTCATCGATCTCCGTGCAGCAAAGAGTCAGCAAGAATCGCTCCAGCACCATCGGATCCATCGACGCGTTCGTCGACACCACGCTGTACAAGTTGTCCAGCGCCCAGCGACGTCGCGAAGTCGCCACGTCGCGCTCTCTGTCCGATTCCTCCGTCGATTCCTCCGTCGATTCCTCCTCTCTCTCCACACTGATCGGGTTTTTATCTACCTTCAAGACCGCTTCCAGCGCCTACCGTTCGCTTGGGGCTGCAAGAAAAGGCGGTAGCAGCGGCTGAGGAAGTCGCCGAGATCCTCGACGTGCAGCGAAGCCAGCAGCTGGCGACACGTCGTCGTTCCCGTCCGCTTATCGAAGTCCAGTCCCACGTTGTTCAGCAGAATGTTGAGCAGCACAACGCGGCGATTGGAGTCCTGCTCGGTGCTCTACGCGTGACTTCAAGGCAGGAAAAGGACCGAAACCAGGAAGTTCAGCAAGTGGAGCGTCTGGGAACGAAGCAGACTTTTGCTGTTTCGCACGTTGGAGCAGACGAGGCGAAGCAGTCGGTTGTTGAGCAGTCGGTGGATCTGATCGGTGGACACCAGAGGAAACAGCAGCTCGAAGGCTTTCAGCACCATTCTACGATCGATTAGCCAACGAACCGGCTGCAAAGTACCCTCCGCGCTCTGCAGACATCGATAACACCTGCGTCGTAATGGCGTCCCACCATTTCAGAAGCGACTCTTCCCAGTCCTCTGCGAATTGCTTCAAGTAGTCGACCGTGACAGTCCAGAGCGCGTGGAGCTTCGGGAAGGTGAACGAAGAGTCGCGATACACGCTCACCAATTGCTTTAAGTGGTGCGGATTCACTTCGGCGTTCTCCACAAATGTGCGTCTCACGTTCTCGTCGTCGAATTCAATGTGCTTGTCGTGGAGAAGAAGCTGGACTTGGAGAAGGAGTTGGAGAGAAGAAGGAGTGAAAGGAAGGGGAATCAGCAGCTCCTCGTTCTCTTCGTTTGGTCGAGATTCGATATACAGAGAAAGCGAGTTGCTGAGAATGAGAGGAATCAAGTCGTCGTGGCTGAACTTCAGAATGGTAATCAGCGTTTCAACGCTGATTTCACGCAGCCATTGCTTTTGCTTGTAATAGCCAACGACTTCCTCCACACACTTTTCAACGATCGAACGAATTTCCTCGGATGGAGGCTCTTTCATAAAACGAGTGGAACGGAAAAGCGACAAAATACCAAACAAACGACCGAACACTTGATCGCGCTTCTCAGCTCGCTTCATGCTTCCCTCTATAGTGCTGGACTCCATTATCGTCGTATATACGCTACTGAGAGGAACATTCGGGAAAAACTGCAAAACACACCTAAAACGTTAGGGAAGCGTGCAGAGTATGATTTCCAATGGATATGTTAACGCCAACGAAAAACCTTGCCGAGCTCCATCATTTCGGGAGCAAATACCATTACAAAGTCTCTTTATTGTGTAAATCATGTCGCGAGAACATCCAGGGAACTGCTCCTGCTCTGCAGGAACTTGATGTTCGCGTAAATAACTCAGCAAATCTCTCGTAGCGATTTCTCTCTTTTTTATGTCCACTTCGGCCAAATCCCAGAAGATTTGAAGGAAGGGAGTTGTTTCCTGCTTGGTTTCCACTATGGATGATCCCCATAGAAGAGCCCTACAAGTATTCTCTTTGTCACTCATACAAAACGAGAATGAATGGATAGTTTTAGAGAAAAGGACAACGCAAGAATTGGTAAAAATGGGAGGAATTTGTGCAATACAGAAATTCGGAAGACTTTTTGATTGAAGTACATGAAAAAGAAGGAAGGAAGAATAGAGAGATGAATTCCATTTTGCTGCTTACATAGAATCATGCAAAAAGGCAGAAAGTTCTAGAACCTTGTCTGTCTGAACACTTTTATTGATTTTTTGAAATGACTTATTCTTATCGAAAGGCAATTTATGTAATTTCATTCGCAGCGGCTGCCATTGCTTCGCTCGCTGCCTTTTACCAATTTAAAAATACAAAAGTGCCTCCCTTTGTTCCTACAAACGAATGGCAAGAAGTGCTGCCTGGCCAAGCTGTTCCCAAGGTTTTCAGCTGTTTTGGGGGGCTTTATGGAATAGGGGCTGAAGATCCGAATGGACTTTAACACACACAAAAAGTACGCAAAACTGGATGATGGAGTTGAAACAACGACAAATCAAGGATTGGTTGTTTCTTCGACTCCGGAAATAAAGCCGGTGGATGAAGAAGCAGATAAGCTAGCCAAAATCATTGCTGACAGTCTCCTCAACAAGTAGGTTTGTTCGTTGTGTTGTTCAAGAAAAGGGATGAATCGAAGTCCAACGAGTCTCCCGACCAAATGAAAGAGAGAGTGCTCTTGGTATTTCTTCGTTTCTCCGCTTAGTTGTAGTCTCTCCCAGAACCCCTCGAGGAGTTGAAATCCTATTCCACTCTCTCCGACGCAGAGAAGAAGGCGATCATCGACAGAGTGTGGGAGCAGCGTCAGAAAGCCATCGCGGACGCTTTGAAGGATGTGCGAGGAGATATCCTTTCGATGATTGTTTTGCGAATTTTGAGAGTGTTGGGAGTTTTCCTTCATTCCACATGCTGAGATTCTCGCAGAACGTCTCCAAACGCTGCGGTCTCTTTCTCCCCAACTGGCTACGCAGCTAGGAAACGCTTCCTTCGTTTCAGAATACCAGCAAACGCTCGCAGACATCGAATGGCTGATTCTGGTGCGCCGTTTTCTTCTTCCTTTCTGTGTAGGACGTCGACAACGTGGAGGATTTGCTCAAAATGGGCGGCGAGTCGCTCTTGGTGGATTCGCTCGTGACTCTTTCCGCCTCGAATGCTCCTTCCTCCTTGCTCGCAGGTTCCATTGTATCGGTGTCCACACTCTACAAGAACGCTCTGTCGATTTCGGACCTCTCTCTGTGTGAAAAAGCGCTGCACGCTTTGATGAATCTCAGTGCGAGCAGCGACGAATCGCTGCAGCGAAAGAGTTTCTTTGGCATCAACGCGATCGTGAGCCATTTCAAACCCATGGCGGAGCGATTCATCGAGCGGAACGGAATCCGCTTGGTGGAGCAAAGCATTCTGAGCGACGACGTGGAGAGAAAGAAGAAGGCGTTGCTGCTGTATCGCAATCTTCTCTCGCAGTTCCCTACGCAGCCCGCGTTGTCGACCGCCAATGTGTGCTCGCAGGCGATGCAGGATCTCACGAGCGTGGAATGGGAGTCCCAATACGCGCTGGTGGAATCGTATTTCAAGCTGCTGCAGTAGGGAAACGGAGAAAGGATGAGGAGTAGAGTGGGGAAGGAGCAGCAGGAAACGAGTTGCGTGGATCAATTGATGAAGAGCGATGGGTTTATGAAGATTGTGCGAAGTCGGTATGCGGAATTGGTGGAGAAGGCGAGGAAAGGTGAGAGTGGAATGGAGAAGTGATGGGTAGAAGTGATCGAGGAAGGAGAGGAGAGTTATTTCACGCAGCTGGTGCATTGTGTTCATTTTGTGTTTGGAAAAGCGATTGAATAATGTATGATAGTCTTTTCGATTGTTTGTTTGACATGCAAGTGGAAGAGGAATGTGTGATTGGTGGTTTGAGTGATTTGAAAAAAAGGAAGAAAGAAATAAGAAACAGGCAGAAAAGCATCGAATCGATTTGAATGCAATACCTTCCTTGATTATTTGTTAATATTCTCCGATTCAATTCATCTCTCCTCGTTCTCTGCCAATCCACTCCATTTCACTCTCTGCATCCAACAAACACCCAAAAATGAATAAAAGCACACTAATTTTCCTCCAACTCGGGATCATTCTCCTCCTCTTCATACTCCATCTCCACATGGCTTCCAGACTTCGGTCTATCCATCAATCCTCCTCTCAACCCCCACAATTTCCCATCAAACTTCGACTCCATGCGATCTCCCATCTCTTCCATATCCTCCTCTTCTTCCTCATCGTCGTAATCCTCAATGAACTCGTCTTCGATTTCTGGCTCGCTTTCTACGATCAAACTCCCTTCCCATTCTCACCCTGATGCTCATCCAGCATGTTATTGAACTCTTCCGGAGCAAAGTTGTAGATATCTCCGTACGTTCCCTTCTTCAGACGATCCAGCAGCTCCGACTCGATCGATTTCTCCAGCTTCGCCACGCTTTCTGCCTTCTTCTCGCGAACCGCTTCGCGCTTTTCGGTCTTTCGGTTGATTCGCTCCAGTTCAGGTCTAGAGAGAAAACACAGAGTGAATCGCAAACTGCACGCGCTGACGCAGCTTTCGCATCTTCTTCAAATACTGGCGAATTCGCAGCAAACGCTTCTTGTTCTTGGAGATGAGGAACTTGGGCCAGTACTGCAAGTTTTTCTCAATTTGTGATATAGCTTCATTTTTATTCTCCGACAACTCGACTTTTTCCCAGAGATTCTTGGGAGTATGAGCTCGCTCGATCGTTTTCATATATCTATATATATAAGAATCACTTCTAGAAGAGCCAAGTACAGATAGCATTTTCCCTTTTCCTCACGAATTGTCGCATATCGCGAGTTTGCTAACGGGCAGTGCTTTCTCGAGCAAATTCCAGCCACATTGTATGGATTTCTGCAGAATGCTTGTTTCTCCTGCCTTAACTTTGATTTGAACGAGCAAAACTCATTGTTGATGATTTGCCAGATGAGATCATCGTGCTGCATAGTTCTACGCAATAAATACGATGAGCAAATTCGTTACAGAAAAGAGTGGCTAACTGTGAGAAACTAGAAGAGTAAGAAATACAAAAGCGAAACTCCCCAAAAGAAAGCAAAATGAGTTTATTCTTTGTCGTGTGTCCTCATTGTGAAGTGGAATATGAGTCCAGACTCTCATTTTTAGAAAACAGAAGCGGAATGCAAATATCAAGCGAAGGATTTTCAGCTATGGAATGATAAAGAAATCGTTCGAATCCGCCGCGGCCGTGAAGTCCTTCTCTCACTGAATCCTTACGTCTAGACGTATATTTGCCCTCTGTGCGAGTCTGAGGATTGCATTGATCATGAAACTAATGTTTGCCTCGTGTGTGATACAATTGTGCACCCAAATATCATTGTTTCTTGCCGCGTACTTTTTTTCTACTATGTGTGATCCTAGGAATGTAAACATATTTGCTCTGCATTACCTAGTGTGAAATTAGCTCCCGTGCCTGAGGACCCGGATGAAGAACCGGAGTGGTGCGAGATGGAGGCATTTTGTTCAGATATGACTTTTATGGTGGAACTGTCGTGTGGTCATAAATTGTGTTTAGGCTGTTTTTCTAGTTATGCAGCTGTCGTTGTGTTGATTTGGCTGTAAGCTCTAGGATTGTTGTAAAACGTTTAAAAATGTGGTGTATGACGAGTTTACAAAAAGCTTCATCATGCGTTGCTTTGCAGACTGCAATATCCCGCATCCTCTCGATCTTCTTCGTCTTGGCGGCAGCTCCAACTGGAAGCTTCTAAACGAGAAAATGCTAGAATACCGCACTCACCTCGACCAAAACCGTATTCCTTTCGATGTCTGCTGATTGCTCCAGGCTGCATCTGCCCTCTTCCTCGCTGCGGCGCGATCATCGAAGGCGTTCCGCCGATCTCCGAGCAGAAAGTGGTGCGCTGCCCGACCTGCCAGCGCGAGTTTTGCCGGCATTGCAACGAGGAAGCGAAGAACGGCGAGTGTCCTCACAAAGAAGACTTGGAGGACGACCAGTCCTTTCGCCGGTGCCCGATGTGCCACACGCCAGTGACGCATTACTACGGCGATGAATGCCATCATATTGGATACGGAACGGGAGGTTGTCCGGGGTGCAAGATGCAGGGTCGTGAATATCATTGGTGCTATTATTGTTTGAACGGTGGAAAGGAGTATCCGGTGTATTGCAAGCAGAATCACTGGTTCTGCAAGCCGGATTGCCCGGTGTGTCCCGACTGTCCGGTTTGTCAGCAGACCAATCCGGGGCGGCGCGTGAAGCACAGCGATAAGAATCATTTGAAATGTCGTGTTTGTCACAAACAGAACACTACATGTCCACTGGACTACGCGGCGAGTCGCTGGCGTTGACTTCAAGCGACGACTGATGCTTGTTCGCCAGAGGACCCGAAGCCACATCGGCGGGTTTCTCTTCCTTCGGAATCGCTGCAGAAGCTTCGGTTTCCTTCTCCTCCGTCGGATTCATCACCGCGGAATAATTGTTTTCCTTCTTCTCCTCCTTCGCACTGCCCACAGCAGCAGGAACAGGAACAGGAACAGGAACAGGAACAGGAACAGGAACAGGAACATCCACAGCAGGCACAGCAGCAGGAACAGGAACAGGAACAGGCACATCCACAGCAAACACAGCAGCAGGCACATCCACAGCCTCATTTCCCTTCTTCTCCCTGGACACCAGCAGCGGATCGTTCTCTCTTCCCTTCGGCGACGGCGACGCCGACGCGCTGCTTCCCTTCTCCTTCGGACTCATCGCCGCGCGTTCTCGCTCCCGCGGACTGCGCGGCGATTCCTTCGCGATCCACGGCATTTCCCGCGGGGTGAAGCCCTTCTCCCGCGGGGTGGCGCCCTGCCCTCGCTCGCGAATCGTGATCGAAGGCTCCTTGAGCTTCTCGCTGGCTCGGTCCATGAGCCGCGGAGACAACGCGGAAGGCGTGAGTTTGGGCTTGTAGGGAATGGTCTTCATGCGCGTGTTCATATCCGCGAACCAGGGATGCTGCATCAAATCCGCCGCGGAGAGTCGCATGTCCGGGTTCTTCTGAAGCAATCCTTTGATGGCTTCTCTGCACTACAAGCATGATTTGGCCAAAAAGAAGAGAGAACGTTGTAGGAAAGATTGATAAACGCGCTGTTGTTGTAGTCGGGCTGTCCGGTCACGATGGCTTTAATGATGTCTTCCTGCTTGTTCCCGTCGAACGGAAGCCGGCCGCGTAATCTAGCCGTGAGTTCGTTCAACAAAGCGAACAGAAGATAGAAGATCACGCCCAAAGACCACATGTCCGCCTTGGTCGTGTAGCCTTGCTTGGAGATCACTTCCGGGGCTAGATGAAAAGGGAGAAACGTGGAAACCGATATAGTTGAGGGTTCCGCAAGGATAGTCGAGTTTTTCGTCGGGGAAGACGAGCTTGCTGAGTCCGAAATCGCCGATTTTGATGTCGAAAAGCGAATCCTTGCAGAGAATATTCTCTGGCTTTGCGTTAGGGCGAATCAACCGACAAGAAGTACTTTGATATCGCGGTGAATGATGCCCATGCGGTGCAGATAGCACAGACAATCGGTGAGCGGGTAGATGATGCGGAAGGCTTCTTCCTCCGTGAAGATCGATCGTCCGCAGATCCGATCGAACAGTTCGCCGCCCTTTAGAAGCTCCATTACGATATAAATCGACTGTTTCTCACCGTTTCCCTCTGTTTTTACCTCCTTCGATTCGAACGTGTCGATCAACTCCACGATGTTTTTGTGCTGCACCAGCGTCAGAATCGCAATCTCCGTCTGGATCAGCCCCGCTTCTTTCTACATGGAACGCCCTGCACGCCTCGGACCTCCGTCAGCTTCGTCTTATTGATCACCTTCACGGCGCATTCCTGCAGCGACGTCTTATCCACGCACTTCACTCGACGCCTCTCTCCATTCCTACGCGATACACGGTCGCGAAGCGACCCTCTCCGATCTTCTCTCGGATGTCGTAGTAATCCTCGATCTTCCGCACCTCCGTCATATCGCGAATCACGTTCACCCAGTCCTGGCATTCCTGCTGGCTCGTCGTGAAGAACTCGCGGTTGTACGTCGCAGGGAACTGCATGCGGAACCCGTAATACCCCGACCGTCGATTCGACCCATCGTCGATCCTACGCGCGTCACGCCGCCGGCGGAGGAGGAATACAATTCCACGGTCGCCTTCTCCATGGAGACCACGACGTTCGGCGCCTGCGCGTAGACGTTCGAGTAGATGTACATGAACTGGTTGTGGATGCGCACGAAGTTCTTCTTCATCCGGTTGAACAGCGAGGCCGTGTAGAGCTCGCCGCTGTACTCCTTCACGTCGCTCTACGCATCGCTCCGCTCCGCTGGGCCCACGTTCACGCCGGGGATCTCCATGCGCGCGTCCACCTTCTCGTCGCGGAACTGATGTCCGCAGCTCGAGCAGAACCGCATGGTGATCACGCGGTGGCACTCCGTGCACTGCAATTTCTTCAGCGAGTCGTCGCTCCCGCTCTTTTTGTCCACAGGGAACAGCTCGCCTTGGCACATGCTGCAGAAACGGACTTCTTTCTGGCAGTGCGAGCACGTTAAGCACCAGTACGCGCGCGTGAAGCCCACCCAGCGCTCCGGGTAGCGTTGCTTCGCCGTGCTGCTGCTACTCAATCAGCGAGAGGCAGAGAAGGAACCGGTCTGATCGGGTTTTGTAGACGTCGGAGTCGATGGTGTCGAAGGGAATCGCCTTGTAGGGGTCGTTCGATTTCAGCGTGTTCATGAAGGTGTTGTAGTTGGCGGTGATCGTGTTGCCGTTGAAGGTCACGTTGCGGTTGGTCGCGTTGAAGATGGACTTTTTCGAATTCGAATCGAATGGATACGCGGAAATACTCGTTGAGATGCGTTTGCTCGCGAAGGAAGACCGAGAAATCGTGGAAACTAATCATGGCGTGCTGGAATGTGAGTTAAGAGAGAGAGAGAATTTTACGTCGTCATTGCCGGTGAAGTAGGCATCCAGGAGAATCTTGATTCCTTCTTGGAAGGAATCGGAGGGCTACGGGTAAATTTCGAATGGGGAAGGCCTGCCAGATCGTTCATGTTGCCGCTGTATTTAACAGTCCAATCTACGGAACAGAAATGATGAAAGCGTTACTGTGTGCTGCGTTGCTTCGTTCCTCGGCAGATTTAAGAGTTACATAGAATATACTGGGAGGAAGATGGCTCATGACCGTTCTGAACTCAACATAGTCAATACCTCCATCACTAGCAATCAAATACACCCCGATCACTCTACTCTCCGAGATCGAAGAACCGGAATATGAAATCATCCAACTCTTGCGAAGTTCCAAACATACACAGCTTTATCCCTTCTTTGAAACTGGTCCAGTATATCTTATCGTCTCTATCCTCGTCAAACATCTTAAATAATCGTTCTGCGCGATTAACACGGACATTCAAAGCTCACCTCCGAGTAGACCAGGAAGATTAAAAAACTTAAAGAAGTCTTCCCTCAAAATATATCCCTCGTCACTCCGGGTCTCTGCTAATGCCTTCACCCTGATGCACAGAAAGGACCACCTACCATAAACTTCAACTTCAGAGTTTTAATTTCTGCCTCATTTTCTAGTTTTTACTAACAGTCGATTGTTTGTACGATCAGTTGATACTAATATCGCTTCATGCGACTTACAGTTTCCCATGCTAAAATGGAAAAAAACTCTAAGACAAAAGTATGGTCCTAATCACTTCCGACAAAAAAGAAGAAGAAGAATTCAATTCCGAAATTCGCAGGGATTTTGGTTTCCACAATTATGTTCGATTTTTTGCGCAGTTGGTGGGAGTTTCAGGTGGGGTTTTACACTACTTTTATATTCTTTTTATGGTAGATCTATATTATTTCCAAGATATTGGAAAAGGAGAGTCCATTAAGTAGGGGTTTTTTGTGTTTTACTCTGATCAGATTGGCGCTTGACCTGGCTCGCGTTCCCTATGTTGATCATACGATTCAGCTAGCCGATTGGCCCAGTATAAAATCCAAAGGATTGGCGGAGGGCTCTCTTCCTTTTGGACAATTGCCCTTATTAAAAATTAACGGTTTGAATCTGATCCAATCGACGTCTATTCTTCGCTACTTATCGCGGAAGTAGTTTTCCGCCGCAGACTTTATGTTAGGTACATCTCTCCGGAAGCCGATGAAGCATTACAAGCTACGATTGATATGATGATCGAGGGATGGGATGATGTGCTCTCTGGCTATTTTGACCATTTGTTTAGTTCTCCGGGTGTTCTGAAGTCCTGGCTATGTAGGACTTGTTTCGTGGCTGCAATCTAGATAATGAATGTGATACTTTGCTCGATCGGTTGGAACATTACTATCGCTTGCATAAAGTATTTTATATTTTTGGTTCTGGGAACGAGGTATAGACACGCTATTTTGTTTCCGATGAAATAACGGCAGTGGACTGTTTGGCCGTCGCCTGCGTTGAAAACCTTATGTACGACATGCCAGATATTCTGCTCAATCATCGCGACCTCACTATCTACATGAACAACGCCATCAATCATCCCGTTCTGCGAGCCTCTCTCCAAAAGCGACACATGTGTTCTGTTTGTAACAAACACTCCATTCCTCCTTCTCCACACTCTGCTCCTCACTTTCACTCCTTTCCTCATGCAGCCTCTGTCCGGCCTCTATATCCTGTTCTTCAAACTGCAATCGCAGCTGCCCAGTGCGCAGGGCGCTGATCGGGAAGCGCTTCTTCCGCGTCGCGCTCACTTTGATCACAATCTTCGCGTCCACACTTCCGCTCTCCAAATCCCTTCGTCTCTCGCGCTGATCGCGGTCTTTCACGATCGTAGACACGAAGGCGCAGCCACTCGTTTTGGAGGAACCGTTATACATGGTGCACGGGGTGTTCGGGTAGATCACATGATCATTAAGTAAAAGACGGTTGGAAGAGAGCGGAACGGCGATGGAAATGTCCGGGAGATTTTGGGCTTTGCAGATTTCCTGCGTGCTCCGAGCCATCTCGAGGAGATCTGAGATCATCTCGTCTTCCTTGAGGGGAACGGTCAGATAGCATTGATCTTCTATGGATTATTCGGTAACGAAGCAAAGCACTTTTTGAAGCATGCTGAGTACCGAGTTCATTCCTCCTTGACAGCATTTGATGATGATGTGCTTCTGACAGTCAAGAAATTAGAACGATTCTACCCTCTGCCGCTGCACTTCTCGTTTTTATTTGGTTTTCTTCGTTTTGGTGCCTTTTCAATTCACTGACCTGATCCTACTAGTTAAAACGCAATTTCTTTGGTTACATTATAAAATTTTTCGATTCTCGATTCTTCAAATGAAGCTAATTCATTTGCATTTTGAATCCTCATTTTCAACTCTGTTTGCACTAATAATAATTGATTTTTCAACTGTTTCTGCAATTCTTTAACAGCTCTCTTATAATCTTCGTCATCCTCTATTCCTAAAAACACATAAACAATAAAACCGAAATTATAGTTTTCAATTCCGGACGTATTCTTCTCAACCTTTCTTCGTTTAGACATGTCCTCATCGCTCTCCTCGACGTATTCATCTTGAACTCTCTGACGGTGGATGGTACGACGCGCCATTTTCATTAAATCGTTTTGTGCGCTTTACAAGCAATATCTACACACTAGTGAGTAGGGAAACAACAATCAATTGACACAACACTCCATCGGATTGTTTTCAAAGAGTCCAAACTGAAGCCAAACAGCTATGAAACATATATCACCATATGGTTCTAACAAAAATGAAATAAGGACTTACAAGCAACTTGAATTAAAGACAGCAATGTAATATGAAATGCTTGTAGATTAAGATTAAGCTGATTGGTTGTTGGAGTTGTCACGGTTATTAGGTTGTTCTAGCAGTTGAGCTTTTACTCGTACGGCATCGTGAAGGAGTTAAGGGATAATGATGAAAACTTTGTATAATGGTGACACAGCAAAGGTAGCTATCTATTATCCAACACACGTTAATTCCTCTTTTTCTCTGTGTAACTCACCATTTCCCCAATTCATAATTCGTTCTCAATTTTAAACAACCCGTAGTATTCCTCTTTTCGACAAAATTAAAATGGAACTTATTGTGACAGCCGATGATTATGGGTAATCGGATTCGGCATTCCGTGAAGAATAGATATTCTCCGTATCGTGATGATATTATCTTGGATTGTTTTCGTCGCGGTATTCTAACGGGAACCAGTTTGATGGTATGTGCTAGACTCGAAAAGGATCATTTTCAGGTGAATGGAAAGTCTGCTGAGTCTGCAGTACAGAAAGGGAAACAAGCGGGAATCTGCATTGGATTGCACTTAAATCTTTCGGAAGGGATTCCTATTTCAGAGCCGTCCCAGATACCGTCGTTACTTCGCGAAGAGAATGGTGTGGTCCAGTTTCTCGGGAAGGAAGGATTTATTCAGTCTGTGACGGAGGGACGCATTGTTCCTAGTGAGGTGGAAACGGAACTACGCAATCAGGTGTGAATTCACTTTTTTGTTTTGTTTTATTTTAGATTCAAAAGTTTATTGAACTGATGGGAGAGCCTCCCTGCTATATGGACGGCCATCAGCACGTCCATCTGTACCCCTCTCTAACCGAGACCATCGCCAGTGTAATGGAAGAATTCCACATCACAAAAACGCGCTTTCTCTCCGAAGACATGAACGAAGTGAGCTGGATGAACTCCAATCCGCGCAAATCCTTCCGTCAGCTCATCTACCAGAACGTATCTCTCTCCCCGCCAATCAAAAGCTAGACGCTTTCCGCGATTCCCGTGTACAACAAACACAACGTATTCGGTGGCTATGGAATCGGGAGCTCGATCGGCGGCATGTCGATGACGGCGCAGCGCATCATCAACTGCTGTCTGCGCTATCCGCGAAGCCGATCCACGGTGACAACGATCGAATTGATGGTAGGAACGAGCGAAGGGAGTGAGAGGAAGACGCATCCCGCGGTTCCGCACGAGGATTGCGCGGAGTGGGGGTGTGGAATCGGGTGCGATGCGTTCAGCCAGTCGGAGGATCGCGTGCACGAGCACTCGGTGCTGGTGGATGCGAACATTCGGCAGAACATTCTGGATAAGGGAATTCGATTGTGCTCGTATGCGACGAGCCACATTGGGAAATCGAAAAGGGAAGAGAAAAGGGAAAAGAGGAGTGAGAAGAATTGTGAAAAGAATTGTGAATCGAATTGTGAATCGAATTGTGAATCGAATTGTGAGTCGAAAACTGAATCGAAAACTGAATTGAATCATCAATCGAATTGTGAATCGAAAACAGAATCGAATTGTGAATCGAAATCGATGCTTGGCAATGGAAAACGCATCGTGATGATGCTTTCTTTGAAAGAAGGCACCGGAAATACCATTACCGGAACGCGAATCGCTTCCGTTCTCATGGAATTAGGCTTCGTCGTGCAGATGGTCGACACAACCGACCACTTCGAATCGCAAAACCTCGCCGCGATTCTTCACAACCAGCGCTACAACGAAGGCAGCACGCTCTATCGCCTGTTTTGCATCCACGCGCTGCGCGCAGGCGTTTTCGCGCTGACCGCCGATGTTCCGTACGTGCTGATGCTCGGAGGAACGGACATCAACGTGAGCATTCACGACCCCACGAAGATCGATCGCGTAAAAAACGTTTTGCAGCACGCGCATCACATTATCGCGTTCACCGAATCCATGAAACAACGAACGATCGATCTTCTTTCCGATTCGATTGCTCCGCCCATCACGGTGATCCCACAAGTTGTTATTTCGATCCAAAACACTATCCTTCAGAGCACAGAGATCCCACACTCTCCCGATGCGTCGCTCCGAACCGCTCTGCGGTTAACTGCTTCCCATCAGCTGCTCGTTCTGCCCTCCGGGCTTCGGCCTGTTTTCTTTTCCCACCCCATCAAACAAAGGTTAAGGACGTGTTCTTCGTGCTGGACGCGTTCTCGAAGTACCACAAACTTCATCCTAACGTTGTGCTCTGCATTATCGGACCCGTTCTCGATGCGGAGTATGCCAACTCCCTCTTTGCGAGCCTCCCCAACGAGAATTTGATTGGAATTTCGTATACGGGAAAGAAAGAAAGCGAATTGTACGAGGGTGTGTATTACTCCACGTAGCAAACATCGATGCCTTGAATGTAGCCCAATTCCTCACACCAAGTTCATAAACACGCTCATGGATGTGGACTTCGTGGTGAACTCCAGCATTTCAGAGGGCTTTGCAGCGATCGTAAGGAGGGAGGAGGGAAATTCGATGGATAGTTACTCGAAGCTTGGTCCGCCAAGAAAATCATTTTCGCGAGGAATAATTCGGGTAACAGTGCTGTGATTCGGGACGGGATCTCTGGACTGCTCTACGATACTCCCGAACAGTTCATCCAACAACTAGATCACGCGTTGTCGGATAAGGAATATCGAAATCATCTCGAGCAGTCTTCTTTCGAGTAACTTGCTACCATTTCTGTCTTATTGGAAGGTACTTGCTGTCTCAGGGACTCATTGAAAACGAGAAGCGCGAACTCCTTCGAATCCTTTGCGAATCTTACCATTGTTTGTTGGCAAATCCCCGCGGAATTTGATGCTTTTGCTTTTTTCCAATTCTCCCAAATTGTTTATTAAATCAAAAGGCAATGGCTGGAAAGGAAGGTAAAGATTAGAGCAAATCGATGATTGTTAGGTGGCAAGAAGAAACCTCTGAAGCAAAAGAAGACCGAAAAGGGTGTGGAGACTGAGGTAGACGCTATTGCCGTTCGCTTAGTTGTAGGAAGACAAGGCTTTCAAGGCCAAGCAAAAGGAGGAGCAGGCCGCTCTGAAGGCGATGAGAGAAAAGCTGTCCAAGAAGAAGTAATCCCTTTCCAGTGTCTATTATTTGCTACACGTTTGTTCAAACAAACCAGTCTAGTGGATGCTAACGTAAGTAGCACCATTAACTGTCTTCACACGAGGAATGGTGAGGATGAGCATTCCATCCTCAATCTTAGCGACCATCTGCTGCGAGTCCGCGTCGATGGGCATCTCAATCATCTTCTTAAAGAAACCGTTGCGTCTTCCAGCAATAAGATAAACATCTTCGTCAGAAACCACCTTCTTCTTTCTCTTTCCTTCGATCATAATCTTGTTATCCTTCACCTGGACGCTCACACGATCCTTAGGAACTCCAGGAATATCGGCAATGACGACATACATATCACCGGCCTATTCGTAAGCATACAAAACTCGATTCAAACCTGAATCAAATCAATATTCAGAGGAAAATGTTCAGGGTTCACGTTATCGCTAGGAAATCAAGTAGGCAGCAAAATCATACAAAACGTTTCTAGCTCTAGCAACAGAGTTGTACGCGTAATCATCATCCTCAAAGAACTTGTTCTTTGCAAAATTAACTATCGACATTTATAATCACCTTTAATAAAATCAATGAAAAACATCTTTTCCTTTGTGAAGATTCTCTCGATGAAACTCCCATCATTCCATTGGGCATTTGGTTTTCGCAAGATTCTAAACAAACACGCAAGGCAGCTAACTTTTTCTTTTGAAAACTCGTCAATGCGGCAGCAAAGGCTTGGATGGAGGATAGAGGAGCCGCATAGTCCAGCGAGTACTTTTTCGACGAAACCTTTCCGAAACACACGTAAACCGTCGCTAGGACTTGGAACCATTCAAATACCACCCTACGCGACGACTCTCCACTATCTTCTCGCAAGATCAGCTGGAAGTTTCGTTTGGACGCCTTCTTCACACGCCCTTTGAACTTTAACCTACAATTCAACCTTCCTAGTCACAACAACGTCCATCCCTTTAATTCCTCCGACCACACGGGCTTTCGCGTTATAAACACCTCGGGGGAGCGGAACCCGATCATTTTCTTCGTGTGGGACGTCGAGGCTAACATCGATTTGTAAAGCTTTTGATCCTCTTTTCTCTATCGCTCATTCGCTCGATCTCTGTTTCTACGGTGGCAGGAGCAAACACCTGCATCGAGTTCGGCTGTCTGCCGGCTATATTGCTTTTGTATGTGATCCGAAGCACCTGGTTTCGCTGGTTTTCCTCAAAGACGCACTCGGGGATTAACGCAGGGTTCAGCCCATTGTCGTATAGAATGAATTCTGTGCCCAGGCCGTTGCCTTTCATCACACCTAGATAGTCTTCGTCGTAGATGTGAGCAGTAACCGTCGATGCCGTGATGTTGGGGTTTTTGAAGAACGCTACGTTGCTAGAGCCGGGCATGGCCACGGCGGACATGATATACTCCTTCGAATCTTCACGATACAAATGGAACACGTCGGAATCTGGATTGTCCGATGCTGTGGAGTCAAAATCCAAACATCGATTTCCACCTCGGTTCCGCTCGATATAACACCGAATTGTGCCTGCGAAGCCGCACGAAGACTTTTTCATTCCAAAGGAGCGGAGTTGCTCTTCGGTCATGGTGTCGAACTCGCAGGGCTTTCCTCCGCTACTTAGATATCCCGGAGAGAAGAATTTGCTCCGTTTTGCGATATCGTCGAGAAGCAACACGTCAAAAATGTCGGAGTTGATTTCATCTCCGCGATATGTGAACTTGCTGGTTTTCGCCAGGAATAGAATCGATTCGCTCGTATCTGCGTCTGATTTCTTGTACGACACAAGAACCCCGTGTCTAGTGCTGAGAAACGAATTAGTTTTAAAGACCTTTTGAGCCAAGTGAAACATCCAGAGAGAACCGTACGCGCATTATACGCAGATGCGTACTTGCAGGAAGCGATGAAATTTGAGCTATTTAGACCTTGGACAAGCAGATTCTGCAGTCGATCTTGCAGAGAATCCAATTGTAATATACTTGCCACTTTGCAGAGCTCAATGTCCAGTCCTGTGTTGGGGCGCAGGAGATGGCGCATTTGGTCCATTGCGAACACACTTCCATTGACATCTTTTAGATGGATGTAACGAATCAGCAATCCGAATGCATGGAAGAGTCTACAGCATGGTGCTGATCAGAGTGGTACTACTTTTCGCTTGAAACACGGATTGTTACTGTGTTTACGTTTTTCCACTCGGATTCCAATTTACTTCTAAAAATGATTCACAAATCAAGCCGATACTTAAAATAGTTACTCTGACAGAGAAGTTCTCTGCTAGATACAATATCATAAGTCAGCTCTGAACAATCGAGTTCAAATCTAAAAATCACTGGAATCCTCCATTCCTAACTGTTTTCCATCTAAAAGAAACCCATTTCCAAACATGCCGTCTTCACCTTTCATATAACACACAATTATCCTGATCAGATCATCGTAATCCGACGTGAAAACACTTTCCTGATAGTAACTATTCATAAAAGAAAAAAAATGTATCTAACAAACAATCGACTTTAAACCTCTTCAACTCCCAATTTCTTGCATTCTCCCAGCGTCGATTCAAACCTTCAGTCCGTTCTTCTCACAAATCGCCTTATACGCCTTTATCGAATTCGGGAATCTATCCATCACTCCATGTCTTCATTCATTTCTACGCTTCTTCGAACGGAGGCTCCGTGCAAATCGTCTCAATCGGATACTACTTCGCACAAAATCAGCGATTCTACCTTTTCACGGAGATGATTCAGCACCTCCGCTGTTTCATGTTCGTAGCTGTAGAAGCGGCGCTTGATCACATCCAGGTTGTCATCGCTGCGTCCCCTACAGTGAAGCAATAGGGAGAGCACAGTACTGGTCCTTTCCGCGCTCCAACAATCGCTTCTCCAGGAACTCGTAACTGCACTGGTACAAAAGGCAGCCAAGAACGTTGCAGCTAGATCCCATTACGTTGACCCAGGTCTGTGGTTGAGTCTGTAACCAGAAACAATACATTGTAGTTCGACATGTTGCGAGGATAGCCATCCAGCAGCAATACTCCGTTCGTTGTTCTGAGGACTTTGTCCTTTATCAATTCCATCGTCACGTCGGTAGGAACAAGCGTTCCCTCGTCGAGGTGCTTTTTAATCATGTCAGTGTACTTTCCGGGAGTCTTTACCGTCTACCGATTTATGCAGAGCATGCACAAGTACTTCTCTCAAAATCTCTCCCACAGAAACGTGGCATCCTCCGAATTTCGCAACGAGGTGATCAGAGTGCTTTCCCTTTCCAGAGCCGGGAGCTCCCAAAACAAAAATCACATTTCCTGCAGTCGAGGAAAAGCATCGGACAGAGCTCTGCAGCGATCTTCCGAGAATCAAACTTGAGCGTAACAGGGACATATAGAAAGGAGAATGTGTGAGAAAGGGTGGGATCCCACAGTATCGATTTGTAGTTTGGACAAAATAGTAGAATGTTTATTGCTCATAAGCGAGTTGCGGCCGAAGGCGACTTTGTCTTTTTATTCGAGAGGAAGGACTCGATCATTCCTGTTTTTTTGAAACATGGGGAAAAGTATCAGTGTATTTTGGGTGCATTCCTTCATGACGATATGATTGGAAAGGAATTTGGATCGATCGTTGTTGTTTTGTCGACTTTCCTAATTTGCAGATAACTTCCCAAACTGGAAATAAATATTTGTATATGCTGCGGCCTACTGCAGAAATGTGGTCCGGATCGATGAAAACTCGGACGCAAATCATTTTCGCTCTCGATGCGAGTGTTATTATATTCAATTTGTTTATCAAGCCGGGTTCGAGAGTTGTAGAGTCTGGGACTGGATCGGGTGCGTTGTCGACCGATATAGCGCGTGTGCTCTCTCCCATTGGTCATTTGTTCACATTTGAATACAACGAAATGCGAGCTACGGAGGCGCGAGCTGAGTTTGAGCGAAACGGGCTGAGCGATATCATTTCTGTGTTCCATCGTGATGCCTACACAGACGGATTTGTGGTGCATGACGAATCGAACGAAAAGCTGTGCGTGGACGCGGAGCACCCTGTGGATGCTGTGTTTTTGGACCTTCCCAAGCCTTACAATGGTATTTGCGAATGTCTGCACTGAGAAATAGCGATCAAGCACGCTTGCGAAGTGCTGAAATACAACGGCCGAATCTGTTGTTTTAGTCCCTGCATTGAGCAGGTGCAGGAGAACTGCCGTACGCTGCGTGAGAATAAATTTGAGTGTAGGGAATGGGAGGGAGAGAAGGTAATGGTGTAGTGATTGAGACGATGGAAGTGTTGGTACGCCAGTACGAATTGAATAGCATTGACAACAATAACAGCTACACGACGAGAAATCGAAATCGGGAGCGAAACGCAGCAGCAGCGAAAGCAAAGGGTAAAGGAAGCGAAGCGAGCGCAATGGAGACGGAAAGTAACAAGGAAGAGGGCGAAGGGAACAACGCAGAGGTAAATGAAAGCGAGAAGATGGAATCGAAGGGATCTGTGAAGCGCGAAGAGCCTGAAGAAGCGAGAGAAAATGAAGGGGAAGAAAAGCCACAAGAGAAAGAAGAAGAAGAAGAAGAAGAAGAAGAACAGAATCAAGGACCGACGCTGTTTGTGCCTTCAAAGAATGTGATGGAATCGCTTTCTTCGATGATTTTGTCAAAGGGAGAGCATATTGGAAGAGGCCACACGGCTTATTTGACGTTTGCTACGAAGCTGTAGAAGAGCGAATGATGAATGAAGGAATTGAATGAATTGAAGTAAATTGAATGAATGAACACAATGCAGAGACTGTGAGTTCGTTGTTTGTTAGAACAATCAAGAAAATGGAGCTGATTGTATAGTGCTAAAGCGCACAAAGCCTTGGCATCACTTGTTTCACGCACAAGATCATCCAGTTCGATCACCTTCAAACAAATGTATTCACCTTCCTCCATTAGTCCCGTGGCTTTGTCCTGGAATGAATTCAGCTCGGCCTCGCTCACCTCCTTCTCGTATAAGAACAGCTTAATGTACTCGTCACAACCTCCAGGAGAAGGATACATTCCCGGATAACGATCACCGTACACCTCCTTGGTCATATCGACCAGATCCGATGCATTTATACTGAGTCCAACTTCTTCCTTTAATTCCTTTGCCGCAACACCTCCGAAAGCTTCCCCATCAAACACTCCCGCAGGAATTTCGGTAAAACAAGAGTTGGCAATAGGCACGCGCGGTTGACGCGTTAAAATCGTGTACTTCTTTCCGTTACACTTGAGAACGATCAAAATCGCCACAGAAGGTCCACGCATGAACACAATGCCAGGAACATGTCTTCCCTCTGGATTCGAAGCTTTGTACACTAAAGATTTGAACTTAATGAACCCGATTCTTCCATTTCCGAAATAGTCAACATTTTGAATATCAATGCTTTTCACGAGGAGACCATCGTCAATACTATTGACCCAGTTTGTAAAATTAGGATTTTTGAGAATGTCTTGAAGTTGGCATTGACAACTAGCGGTTACAGGCACATCAACGCCATGGATTTTTACAGATGCTGACATTGTACGTAAAAAACAAGAGCACGAACGAGCAAATCGAGTGGATTTAAATAGTTGAATCATGGATATTTTACCCTTTTTTACCTTTCCATAGTCCTTTCACACTATTTCCTCGATTTACTCCACCCAGATTCCTCTATCTGGTGTATAATAAAACTCTATCCTTTCGATTGATCGATGGTAGAATTAATAGTGTTAATGCGAAGCCATGATCGCGGGAATTGCATAATTTTGTGCCATTTCATGATCATCTAAGATGAATCTGGATATTTATATTTTGAATAACTCTTTATTTTCAAGGTATGGACATCTTAATGATATGTGTGAAATGTCATATATTTAGTGTTCGCGGGTTCTAACTAGTTTTCTAGATAACTTACCAATGCCCAGTAAGCATAAGTCTGAGAAAGCTGATAATGCGTCTTCGAATCGCAAGGGATCTCTGAAAGTCGGAGATAGTTAGTGTTTGTACGAAAAGTGATGATTGTGTAGCTTCCGGAATTATTAACGAACTGACAATCCAAGTTGACTATAGTCTGGACTCCCTCGTCGAGTTGTACGATTTGTTGTCCGTTCTGAAGTGTAGCAATGAGATAGATTTTGCAAGCGCCATCAGAAAAAACGAACTCGCCGTCTGTAGTTTTTCGATTCCGTTTCGATTCTGTAGGCATGAGTAATGATGATGTTGCCGAACTTGCCCAAGGATTTGATGCGTCCAACGCCAGAGTCAGCACGTTGGTGATTGCAGGTACCACTCAATCGGAATCCCTCCTGTTCAGCTTCGGACGACTCCAAGATCGAAGATGAGGACGGTTCCGTTCTCACGGAGCTGATGGAAGCCATCAGCGAGCTCTCCTCGGTCACAACCCTCGTGTTTTACGGACATGACTTCGAGGTGCTTTCGTTCACCGCGATGCCCGAGAACGTGCAAGAGCTGGTGTTCGACAGTCCGCCTTCTTTTCTCTCTCTGTGAGCCGTAGAGTGCAAAATCGGCTCGATCGAACTGGACGAGAACGACGCGGCGAGCGTGGAGACCCTTGTGTTTGCCAGTACGTCGCTCTAACGCATCCTAACTCGCAGATCTGACCAGCGGCGGCACGCTGACGATCCCCGAGAACGCGTTCCAGAACGTGAAGCAGCTGAAGATCGTGCGCTGCCACGCGGAGAACGTGGAGATCCAGGACGGCGCGTGCCCGGTGGGCACCATTCTGGAGATGAGCAGCTGCCGCCAATGCGAGACGCTGACGCTGGGCAAGGATTGCTTCTCGCAGGGAGAGATGCTGCGCGTGACGCGCGTGCCGAATCTGTATCGCATCGAAGTGGGCGAGAACGCGTTCGAGAACGCCTCGGAATGGAACTTGTCGGGTAGGAAAGGAGGAAGCGAGTGAGAGCCAGCGTCGCTGCTGAAGATTCTGGTGCTGCAAGGCAACAATTTCTGCAAGATGAAGGAGGTGGATCTGCAGTTCCCCGAGCTGGTCGAGTTCCGGTGCGGTCCCAATTGCATGCAGGAGGCGAAGAGTCTGATCTGCCAGGATTTGGGCAAGCTGCAGAAGCTCATCATCGACGAGCACTGCTTCGAGCGATGCAAGAAGCTGTTCTTCAGCGGTGCGGCCTAGATTGGAGTGCTGATGCTCAGATACCGACAATCTGCGTGAATTGGTCTTCGGACCCTACACGTTCGGATCGCTCACCGACGAAGATCTCACGCTCTCGGGTACTCTTTATTACCAGCTCGCATCATTGCTAGACTTCCCGCGCTTGGAGCTGCTGGAGTTCGGAAAGAGCTCGATGGCGAAGCTGGACCGCTTCATCCTGGTGAGTAGGCGCAGCAGGATCTTAACGAATGATTTACAGAGTGCTCGAATTTGCGCACGCTCCGAATCGGCCCGAAGGCTCTCAAGTCCTGCGAGTACTTCGTCCTGCTGGGTAGGCTGGCCGGCCGGCTGGCCGCTGGAGCGTCGGCTCACCTCTAGACTACGTGAACCGCGTGCACATGGAGGAGGACGTGGGCAAGCTGCAGATCATCCCCGAGGAGTACCCCAATCTCCCGCAGGAGGCGGAGATTCAGTGCCAGGCGAACTCGTTCCGCGTGGAGGGCAGCGATTGGGCCCGGGTTTGATCGCGTAGTGTGTCGCCGCCTGCAGGAGATCGAGTTCGGCGCGGAGTGTCTGAAGAACGTGGAGCACTTCGAAGTGAGCTGTACGTACCGCTGCGCCGAGAGAGCTGACGTGTAGTCCTGAAGCGTCTGAAGAAGATTTCGTTCCCGCAGTACTTCCTCGAGGAGCTCAAGACCTTCACGATGTCCGGTAGCGTTCTCTCGCCTCCTCTCCACGCTAGACAACCCCAAGCTCACCGACGTGTTCATTCCTGAGGGCTGCTTCCCGAAGGCGCGGTACTTCTCGCTGCAGGGTAGGAGGCGAGAGCGAGCGCAGCGATGGCATGTAGATCATCCCGCACTGACCACGCTGGAGATCGAGGATGGCGTGATGGCGAACGGAGGATTCTGTATCATGCGAAGTAGGGGCGAGAGGACGCGCTGAGACGCAGATCTATATCCGACGACGATTAACATTAGCAGTCGAAGTATGCTTTGCAGCGCATCCAGTTATAAATCAATCCCCAAGAAGTTACGCCGCGCAATTGTGAAGAATCTGTCTCCGTTCCAGACGAAGATTGCTTCGGACGCTTTCTTAGGTCAGACATTAGTTGGATCCATTTCTATTCTTGGAATCGTATCTGTTTTGGTGGTTCTTTGTCTTTGATCTGTTTGTTGCATTCATTTTCGGAGGGGTTTTTAGCATCCTTGATAATCAAGAGTCATGCTGATGATTGGTCATACAGTTTCTCCGTTTTGGGTCTACAATAATCTTAAAAGGAAAGTTAGATGTAGGGATTGTTGTCGGCGTCCCGCTCTGATCACATAGATGCAAAGTTTGATTCGAAGTGCTCTTCGCAGAACTGGTTCGCTGGCGGTGGTTGCCCGTTTTGCCAGTACCCGCCCGTTCGCTCCCGTCTTCAATGTGTGGATGCCTGGAATCCGTGACTCGTAGTTCGTGGATCGCTATGTGGGTCCCCGCGACAACGAGATCTCCGAGATGCTGAAGACCATCGGCTGCACGAGTCTTGACGATCTGATCAATAAGACCATTCCCAAGGAGATTATCACTCACGTTTGTATTCCGATCTTTGGATCACCCGCAGAAGATGAAGCTCCCCGAGCCCATTTCCGAGGAGGAGGCCCTGGAGGAGATTCGAGCGATCGCCAAGAAGAACAAGATCGAGAAGAGCTACCTGGGTGAGGGCTACTATGGCACCTACATGCCCACCGTGATTCAGCGCAACGTGTACGAGAACCCGGGCTGGTACACCGGCTACACCCCCTACCAGGCCGAGATTTCGCAAGGCCGTCTGGAGTGTCTGCTGAACTTCCAGACCATGATCTCCAACCTGACGGGCCTGCCGATCGCCAACTCCTCGCTGCTGGACGAGGCGACGGCTGCCGCCGAGGCGTTCCACATCGCGCACGAGACCTGCAAGAACCGCAAGAAGTTCTTCGTGAGCGAGGACTGCCACCCCTCCACGATCGCCGTGGTGCGCGAGCGCGCGAACCTGCTGGGCGCGGAGGTGGTTGTGGGCGACGTGCGCAGCGCGGACTTCTCGTCGAAGGAGTACAGCGGCGTGCTGGTGCAGTACCCCAACACCTACGGAGAGCTGTTCGATTACAAGACCGTGAGTGACGCCATCCACGCTAACGGCGGTCTGTTCATCGCGGACGCCGACCTGCTGGCGCTGACCGTGCTGAAGACGCCGGGCGAGATCGGCGCGGATGTCTGCGTGGGCTCGACGCAGCGGTTCGGAATCCCCATGGGCTACGGAGGCCCCGCGGCCGGCTACATGGCCGTGCAGAACAAGCATCTGCGCAAGATGCCCGGCCGTATCATCGGCGTGACGCTGGACCGCCACGGCAACAAGTGTCTGCGTCTGGCGCTGCAGGCGCGTGAGCAGCACATCAAGCGCCAGCGCGCGACGTCGAACGTGTGCACGGCGCAGGTGCTGACGGCGAACATGTCGTGCATGTACGCGATGTACCACGGCCCCGAGGGTCTGAAGAAGATCGCGACGCGCGTGCACAAGATGGCCAACGCGTTCGAGCTGGCGCTGAAGGAGAACGGGTTCAGCGTGAAGCCGGCGACGTACTTCGACACGATCACGGTGGACGTGCCCAACGCCGACGAGATGATCCAGAAGGCGCACAAGAAGGGCATTCTGCTGCGCCGCGTGAGCGACAAGCAGGTCTGCGCCAGCTTCGACGAGACCACCTCGGCCACCGACCTGGTCAAGCTGCTCGAGTGCTTCGACGTGAAGGCGGACGCCGCCGACCTGGACGCGCGCTCGTCGGGCGCGATGCCCGCGGAGTTCCAGCGAACCTCGCCGGTGCTGCCGCACGAGATCTTCAACAAATACCACAGCGAGCACCAGATGACGCGCTACCTGCACATGCTGGAGACGAAGGATCTGTCGCTGAACTACTCCATGATCACGCTGGGCTCCTGCACGATGAAGCTGAACGCCACCAGCTCGATGATGCCCATCACCTGGCCCGAGTTCACCAACCTGCACCCCTTCGCGCCGCGCGAGGACGCCAAGGGCTACCAGAAGATCATCGACGACATGGACAAGATGCTCTCCACCATCACCGGCTTCCAGAAGATGTCCTTCCAGCCGCTCTCCGGCGCGCACGGCGAGTTCGCGGGCCTGCTGACCATCCGCAAGTACCTGGACTCGATCGGCGAGGCGAAGCGCAATGTGTGCCTGATTCCGCGCTCTGCGCACGGCACCAACCCCGCCTCGGCCGCCATGAACGGCATGACCGTCGTGGAGGTGAACAACCTGGCGAACGGAGCCATCGATCTGCCCGACCTGGAGAAGAAGATCGCCCAGTACAAGGACACGCTGGCGTGCATCATGATCACCTACCCGTCCACGTACGGTATCTTCGATGAGGGCATCAAGGACATCGTGAAGAAGGTCCACAACGCGGGCGCGCAGGTCTACATGGACGGCGCCAACATGAACGCCCAGGTGGGCCACACCTGCCCCGGCGTGATCGGCGCGGACGTCTGCCACCTCAACCTGCACAAGACCTTCTCCATGCCGCACGGAGGCGGCGGCCCGGGTGTCGGCGCCATCGGCGTGGCCAAGCATCTGGTCCCGTTCCTGCCCACCAACCCGACGCTCCCCGTGCACAGCGGCGCGGGCAGCATCGTGTCCGGCGCGCCCTACGGCAACGCCAACCTGCTGCCGATCACGTGGATGTACCTGCGCATGCTGGGCATCGACGGACTGCGCAAGAACACGGCGTGCGCCATCCTGAACGCCAACTACATGGCGGCGCGCCTGAGCAAGGACTACCACGTGATGTTCCGCGGCAAGCAGGGAATGTGCGGCCACGAGTTCATCCTGGACGTGAAGCCGTTCGAGCCGTACGGCATCACGGAGAACGAGATCGCCAAGCATCTGATGGACTACGGATTCCACGCGCCGACGATGTCGTTCCCTGTGCATGGCTCGCTGATGGTGGAGCCCACCGAGTCCGAGGACAAGCAGATGCTCGACCGCTTCTGCGACGCGCTGATCATGATCCGCAAGGAGATCCAGGACATTGCCGACGGCAAGCTCGACAAGGACGACAACCCGCTGAAGAACGCGCCGCACACCGCGCAGGACGTGATCTCGGACAAGTGGAACCACAAGTACTCGCGCGAGCTGGCCGCGTATCCCACGCCCGAGACCAGAGAGAACAAATACTGGCCGACGTGCGGACAGGTGGACAACACCTGGGGCGACCGCAAGCTGCTCTTCACGGTGGACAGCTACAAGAACTAATCAACCAACCAACCAACCGCTTCCTTCCTGTTGTTGTATTGTTGTTGGTGTGTTTGTTGGAGGAACCAAGGAACCAAGGAATCAAGGAATCGAACAAACAAATTGAATGAATGAATGAATGAAAGGACTGTGAACGATGGAAGGGAGTTCGATCGTTGCTAGGGATTGGTGCGAGGTCGCTTCTCGGATGATTGCCCAGCCAGAAGCGCGAGCGCTTGTCTGCGCGAGAGAATCGTATTCTGCTGCTCTTCTTCCTTCATGAACTGCTTGAGCGCTAAGGAGAATCACCAACTAACAGGCGAGTGCTACCTGCAGGGCACTGAATTCCGTTTTCCTCGCACAGCTTCACAAACGCAGGGAACAATTTCTTGTTGCGCGCATTGCAAAACACGCACACGCTGCTCCTCTCTCCCGCCCTCCCCACACGTCCCGCATGGTGAATAAACTCCGAAATCGACGACGCGAACGACCACATCAGAATCTACTCCTCGCTCCTCCCATTCGCCTCTACGCAGCGCGCCGATTGCAGCTCCACTCCGCGACCCACAATCCCCGGCGTCGACACCAGCACCTTCAATCGACCCTGCTGAAACTCCTCGATGGTTCTGCGCCGGTCCGCGAAGGGCGTTTCCACAGTTAGCGAGGTATGAGTGCATTTCGGAAACTCCTCGTCGAGGCATTTCGTCACTTCCGCGGTCTCCAAACGCGTCTGGCAAAGCACAACCAGCGGCAATTCGATCTCCGACTCCCTGCCTTGCAGTCGGTTTCGCAGCAATTTCGCGAAGCTCTTTCGCTTCTGCGTGTCTTCGCGCCAAAGAACCGAGTAGTCGAGCGCGCGGTTCAATGTCTCGACGGTCGACACGTTGATCTCCATCGGGTTTTGAAGCAGAGAAGCGGTCTGCGATCGGAGATTGGGCGTGATGGTGGCTGAGACGATGATTTTCTGGGGCTGAGAGACGCATTCAATGCGCACTTGCAAGCAGGGCGACGAACAATTCGAAAGAATCGACTGCGTTTGTTCTAAAAAGTCCGATTTGAACAATTGGTCAGCTTCATCGAAGACAACGCAGCGAATTTGATGGCAGAAAAACGACACTAGTCTTCACCAAAGCCACGCTTCTCTCTACTCCACTCTTTTTCCGATCGAATCAAATCCAAAAGCCGCCCTGGCGTCGCTACCAAGAAGTTCGCGTTCTGATGGAGGCGATAGCTTTGCTGCTTTTTGCTCCCGCCGCCGATCAGCAGCGCCGAACGAACGCCGTGCTCACTCGTAGCGAGCTCTTTGAGTTTGTTTTCGATCTGGATGGCGAGTTCCTGGCCAGGAACCAACACCAAAACAATAAAATCTTGGTAGAAACGCGTGGCTTCGAACTAGAAAATATAAAAAGAATCAGATTGATCTGAGTACGTAGTCCATTAGAAGAAGGGTTAGCGGAATGAGGTACGCGAGTGTTTTCCCACTGCCTGTCGTGCTCTGGAGAATAACGTCACGGTTACTGAGAATGCAGGGGATCTATCATCTATTGTTCGAATGGGAAGGACTACGGATTCCATTTGAATTGGGGTGGGTGAAAACACGCCTACACTCGTTAAATTGTCTCGTAGAGTGGAAGGAAGGGAAATGTTGTCAAAAGAAAGTACGGAATGTTAGAGAACCAAGCAAATCCTACGAGGATGATAAAAATCGCCCCGAATCGAGATGTTGAGGCCTTGCCTTATTTTTAGAATCTGCGGATATTATCGAAAAGGGTAGATGTACATCGATGCTCGAGTACAATCCACTCCATGTTACGAATTTGTAATATTCGGCGATTCTCCAATTATAAAACTCATTATCTAGCAGATTACGATATGATCAAGGTCCAACCATCCCATTTGGCAGAAATGCTTAATTCTCTTAGCTTTTTCATATTTTTCTCTTTTTCCAGGTGAATTAGTTTGCACTCCATGCTGCAGACATCTTTATCTGTTTCATCACAAATGTACTCTCCATATCGACCACAGACCTACAAAAGAAAATTATAAGGTAGGTATACAACGCAAACCGGTTCTCCTGGTTCAGGATATCGTTGATCCTTAGAGAACTGAACGATTTTCTCTTCGGACATTCCGCAATGCACTGTAATGCGAATTTAAATGCAGAATCCGAATCTAATGAAAAGGAAAGAGAAGTATAAGGAATCTGGAAAGGATAGATTTGATTCCAAAAGAATCAAGTCGAAATAGTGGTAAAAGCAATGTATTACCTAACAATTTAAATAGATTCACCCAATGTAGATTGACAAAGCTTAAATCACATTATTGTTATCAAATTCAAAACTGGTATCAAATGATAGTATTCAAAGTTGTCTATTTTCGATGATTACCAACTTGACCATTAGTAGTCAAAACAAAGGATCCTTGCAAAATCGATATTGTATTAAAATTGAATTGAATATGCGAATTAAAGCAACTATGTACTGACTGTTATTACTCAGCGCCATGACTCGATTTCCATTGTTGCTTTTCTCTTTTAAACTCACATGCGAACATTATTCCACAAATGAGTCTACATACATTTTCAACTCAATCATACTTAATTTTACTCTATTTTGAAGCAATACACCCCACTCATAGTAAACCATAAAAACTTGTTCCACATTTGAATCTCTCTCTATTTCACTTTCGTAATCAGGAATCAAACAAACAAGTCTAAAGTTGCTTTTTTGACAATTTTCTCATCATTTTCTTTTTCAAATGGATCCCCAGAATCGACGTGTGGTTCAAGGCATCGAATTACTTCAAACAAATAAGTTTTAGCAACGCCTAATGTCAATTCTCAAGAAGCGACTCCCTCTGTTCATTTTTCACCAAATGTGATGTCTTCTGGACGTGCCAATGGAGAGAGATCTGAAACAGACCGCAGTGTATCGAGTACGCCGTATGTGTCTTGCTCTTGATTATTATTCAATAGGGGCGGCAATATTCGCTCTCCGTCAGCCGAAGTAGCTATTATTTATTCGTTTCATGTAGTTCTCTCCGGGTTCGCAATCTCAGTTCGAAGATGTCATTGTCGGTACCGACATTGTGGTTACTGAAGTGATGTCCGTGTTCAAGCAATTTTTGGAAGATTTTCAAGCTGAGGGTGAAGAAAGTGGCACCTACATTCGTAAGATCAATCAGCTGATCGAGGAAAACAACCGTTATTTGAATCTGGACTGTAATGATCTGCGAACATTCCCAACCACTTCCAAACTGTACGAGCAGCTGATTCTATTCCCCCAGAAAATAATCCAGGTGTTTGACGTGGTGGTGAACGAGTTAGTGAGCACCCTTCATCCATCCACTCCATTCTCCATCCACATTCACGTATTCAACATCGGAAACAAGCATCCGATGCGAGACCTCTCCACCGACAACATCGACCAGCTGGTCTGTGTGGAGGGCATGATCACGCGCGTGGGCGACCTGATTCCCGACATTCGCATCGCCACGTTCGTCTGTTCCAACTGCAAACATCGCGCCGAGGTGCACCGCATCGGCAACCGCATCGACTGCCCCGCGCGTTGCGAGCAATGCCACAGCCCCAACACCCTGCGGATCGACTCCACGGACTGCATTTTCAACGACAAGCAAGTCGTCAAGATGCAGGAAGTTCCCGACCAAGTCCCGCAGGGCGAGACGCCGCAGTCCGTCACGATGTTCGCCTCGGAAGAGCTCTTCGACTGCGTGAAGCCGGGCGACAAAGTGGAGGTGACCGGGATTTTCCGAGCGCTGCCCGTGCGGATTTCGCCGAATCGGACGACGGTGCGGGACGTGTTCAACACGTTTATCGACGTGCTGCACTACCGCAAGAAGGTCGATAAGCGCTTCGCCGTGGAGGGCGAGGAGCTGGACGACGTGCAGCAGGTGGAGGAGGAGCGGCGGCGCGAAGAAGCGCGGCTGGTGGAGCTGTCGCACGACGAAAACATCTACGCGAAGCTGACCGCGTCCATCGCCCCGTCGATCTGGTCGAACTCGAAGCGTTCTGTGACTTGTAGGGGCATGGACGACGTCAAGAAAGGCCTGCTCTGCATGCTCTTCGGGGGCAATCAGCCCGACGACGAGCGCGGCCCGCACTTCCGCGGGGACATCAACATCCTGCTCTGCGGCGACCCCGGAACCTCCAAGTCGCAGCTGCTCTCCTGCGTGCACCAGCTCGCGCCGCGCGGGATTTACACGTCGGGGAAGGGCAGCTCGGCGGTGGGACTGACGGCGTACGTCACACGCGTAGGAAGAAGGAAGGGGTTGGGTTCAAGCCAAGGATCCGGAAACGTACGATTTGATTCTGGAGAGCGGCGCGTTGGTGCTGAGCGACAAGGGAATCTGCTGCATCGACGAGTTCGATAAGATGGACGACACCACGCGGTCGGTTCTCCACGAAGCCATGGAGCAGCAGACGATTTCGGTGGCCAAGGCAGGGATTATCTGCACGCTCAACGCGCGCACGTCGATCCTCGCCGCGGCCAACCCCGTCAATTCGCGCTACGACCCCAATCTCTCCGTCATGCAGAACCTCCAGCTCCCGCCCACGCTGCTTTCGCGCTTCGATCTGATCTATCTCATCCTGGACAAGCCGGTGGAGGCGTTGGATCGGCAGCTGGCCACGCATCTGATCTCGCTGTACACCGAGCACCCCGAGAATCACGTCGAGGTCGCGCCCATCGACAAGAAAACACTCACGGTTTCGTCGAGAGAGCGAGGTGACGTGCAGGACTATATCAGCTACGCGCGCAGGAACGTGCACCCGGTGATTCCAGACGCGGCGGCGGTGCAGTTGGAGGAGGAATACATCAAAATGAGATCGCTGGGAGCGCGGTCCACTGCGGGCAACGTCGTGACCGCCACGCCCAGACAGCTCGAGTCGTTGATTCGGATTAGCGAGGCCTTGGCCAAGATGAAGCTGAATAGCGAGGTGAGCGTGGAGGATGTGAAGGAAGCCGCTCGGTTGATCAATGTAGCTACGCAGAGGGTAGGGGATGGGAGATCGCTGTGTTGTAGGCAGCCACGGATCCTCGCACGGGAGTCATTAACATGTCTAGCATATATGCGGAATAGAAGAAGAAGAAGAAATGATTCATTGTGTTTGTTGAAAACAGGGAATGGACAAAGCTATGCTGCGGTCAACCCCTTTAGAAGATACCAATCTTGTTGGCGACGTCCATAGCCTCGTTCTCTCCGCTCATGCGCACAAACGCCTTCTTGAAGCCCAGAGGAGAGATAACAGTGTTCACCTTGTCGCACTTGACGTTGTACAGCTTGTTGATAGCCTGGCGGATCTGTCTCTTGTTGGCACGGATATCCACGAAGAAGGTGAGAATGTTCTCAGACTGACGTGTGACTGGAGGGAAACGAACGGCCTACCTCAATCTTCTTCATCGAAGACTCGCTCACAGCGGGCTTCTTGATAATGGCGTAAGCGTCCATCTTGTTCTCCTTCTGGACAGCGTGTCTCACATACTTGGGCTTGCGGGCAAGCTCAAGAGTCTTAGGACGGTAGAAGCGAGTGGTGGTGTGAATATGACCAGCTTTCTTCATCTGAACGCGTTTCGTTTTCTGAGCAGCGGTAGCAGCTACAGCGATAAGACAAGTAAGAAAGTGATATTCTACCCTTCGTAGCCTTGACCATTTCGTCTAATTTTGATTTTTCGGAAAACATGGGGGTGTGATTGTGGTCTGCGAGATTTGCCTGAGGTAGTTGCACCCCCATAGTGATAATGGTTTTTGATTATGTGCACTATTTTTGAAGTTTGGGTAGGTTTACTGGGATGAAGTGGGAGAGAACTGTATGGAGTAGCAGAAGGTTTCGAACAAACAAGGTAATCAGTTGTACTTACTGTGGTTCCTGAGGTTCCTGTGATTCCTGAGGTTCCTGTGATTCTTCTTCCTCTTTCTGTGGAGTTTCTTTTTCTATTTCTGGAGTTTGGGTGTTGTCCTTATCATCTTCATTCTCATCAACATTCTTATTTTCATTCTCATTCTCCTCTTCATCTTCATTTTCATTTTCATTCTCCTCTTCATTCTCCTCTTCATTCTCCACTTCTACCGCCTTCTTCACACTATGATTAAACTTCGTCGCATCAATCTCATTGATCTTCCCCTCCAACTCCGTCAACTGATCAATATACCGCGGGAAATTATTCGGCTTCAAATGCACCAAGATCTCCTTCATATGCGCAGCGTTATTCAGCAGAATCCTCTACCCCTCACCCTTCTCCTCTCCTCTCCCTACCCGCACAGGCGCAAACAGAATCCCCTGCGTCGCCGGACTGTCGATGTACAGCGCGATTTTCCCCACCGTGTCCTCCAAGCGATCCGTTCCCTCCGCGAAACTCGCCAGCATGTTCACCACTTGCTGCTCCTCCAGAGGGAAGCGATCCTCCGCGGAGGACGCCTGCGCCATGAACTGCTCGTACTGCTGAATGAGCGTGATGACCGTGCCGCACACATCGCGGCAAATGCCCTCGATGAGCTTGTTCGTGCTGTCTTTGAGCGCCTCTTCGATGAGACGCAGCCCGTCCTGGTTGATGAACGTCATGGTGGGAATGGCGCGAGCGAAGAGTCGGTACAGCGTGCTGTCGCGAAGCGAAGTGTCGCTGAACGGGAGATACGTTCCGGGCGAATGGAGATCGAACGGAGAGATCTGCTCGCGCAGGATGAGGAGCGTTTTGATCCGGAAAAGCTCGCTGTCCACGAGGGATTGCCGAGAGAGAATGGCGGCGGCGGCTCGCGAAATGGAGACGAGAACGGCGCTGACGGCTTCGGCGGTGAGATCGGCCATGATGGTGTACTACATGATCAGCAAGCAAGCAAAAAGCAAGCAAAAAGCGTACATCGACGCAAGTATAAAGCAAGGAAAGCACGCGGAGAATCTTCTGGACGGGCGTGTACCACACCGAGTAGATGGAGAAGTCGGCACGATGCTTGCGAGCGTAGAATCGATAGAGCTTGTCCGGATAGTCGATGTCTTCTTCGGTGGGAGCGTAGTTTTGAATCGTCGTGTCGATGTACGTGTGCGCGATGAACAAAATTCGCTCGCGAATATCTTCTTCCAGCTTGATGATCAGCGGAATCACCACCGATGTGAAGGAATCTACATGGAATCAGCCCTGCAAAGAGCCACTTCGCTTCACCACATCGCCCGCCACGATTTCCATTTTCACCATGTGCACCAAATCGCACAGAATGTCCAGCTGCGAACAATCCAGAACCAGCGGACGGATCTGCTCGTAGCAAAGCAACGCCAAATCCTCGATGAGCGAGCAGATGCTATTCGCGAACCCCGGCGAAGACCGAACCGTGGAAACGTGGTTCTTGTCCGATCCGGAGGAGAAAAACGAGACGAAGCACTCGCTTTCCATTTCGCAGACTTCAATCATGAGCAGAATCGCCGATCGCACGCGGGTTTCGAAGGACTCTCCGTTTTCGAGGATCTGCGCGACCTCGCGGAGGAAGAGCTCTTTCATTAGATCGTAGCGAGCCTCGCAATAGAGCGAAAAGCAGGAGTCTTTCTTGGGCTCGTAGGCGCCGGAGTGGATTTGAAGGATGTGATTCACGACGCCGGCGTTTCCGCGCGATAACGCAGAGAAGAAGTAGTAGAGAGGGGAGGAAGAGACGAGGAGCTGCTAGAGGGAAGGATAGGAAGAGAAGCAGAACGTTTTTGTCTTGTTTTTCTTGGACTTGCGCTGAGCACGTTTTCAAAAGCGAGGAGAATTTATTGGAGATGATTTCGTACACGCGGTCGAGGAGAGCTTGATACTTCGTGATGTAGTTCGAGCTGTCCTTGTAGGAGGGCTGCATGGAACGGGGAAGAGAGTTTGTACATGGGAGTTGAAGAATTGCAGACAGTCGAAGATGCGAGTGATGATGGAGGAGAGCTCGTCGCAGTACAGGTCGTACTCCATTTCCTTGCTCTTCTCCGTGGATGCTTCTTTCGCGTAGATGCTGCTCATTCCGATCTTGTCTGTAATCACAGACAAATCGCGGAAGTAGGAGAGAGGCTCACGAAGCTCGCTAAGAACACGGCTGAGTGATTTCTACAGTATAAGATTACAAAATGAAAAAATACTTCATCAGAAATATACCCCTCACACTCATCATGGAGGGACTTTGTTATGATAGATATCTATGGCACTAAACGCAATTTGAATAGTGGGTACATCATCATATTGCTGCGAAATCGTATCTAACGTTCGGATGGACGAGTTTACCGAATCAAGAATGGTTTCTGTACTGCTGATCGTATTATCAAGTCTTCCAATGAGGGTACTACAAAATGAAAAAGTAAAAACAACGACTACCTCAGCTGTTGTTCAACATGGGAAACCTTTGGACGTAGATCGATATCTTCAAAAATATCAATGGAACGGTTCGTCAGGACAGGAAGGGTTCCTTCCGATTCTGTCCACGATGGTGGAGTATTCATGCAGGTCTCTAATTCCGCATAAATACGTGTAAGTTCATCAGAATAAGGGATAAAACGTTTCCAGTCGGAGGAATCCGTATTCATCTTGAACAGAAAAAAACTGTATTTGAGGGAATGTTGTTCGAAGTGTATTGAGGAAGGAGTGTTATTGAATGTGGAATCGATTTTGCAGGTATTGAACGCTAAGTCGAAAGTCGATTGTGGGATGTATATAAACATTGCATGGAAATGCGAATCTATCGGTCGATTTGCATTCAAAGAAAATAGAATTTTATATTGTTAGCCAGAATCCACTCACTTTCCATCTATTCCCCATTTTAGATACATTTTTCTGTTTTGTCTTACACCCTGATTTATATTTCAAGCAATATAGCCAATCCACATTATTGTTAGAAAACCAAATCTGATTGATCTATTCAGCTTTCATCCTATAGAGGTCCTGTATTTCAGCATTTTCAAACCCTCTCATGTCATCTGTTGGATCATTGTATCAACCAATTCTTCGGGACGAAAATTCTGAACAACTGAAGCGCCATCTGCGATTTATTAGGATATCCTTGCAATTTCTTCCCTTGTTGTAGAGTTGTCTTAATTGAGAGTGGATCGCTGTAATAGTAATTTTGTGTTGTTTGTCTTTCGGTCTGTATTGTGTAATATACAGAAAACAGAGTCCTTATCTGTTCGCTTCTCGTTACTCTGACTCATGTTTAGTTGGCTTTTTATACATTCCTTTGTGTGGGTCCTATCATTCTATTATGTTCGATGGGTTTATCAGTTCAAGAACCGACCGGGGTACTGTTATCTCGTGGGATATGCGTTTTGTACGTTTTGCTTTTTGATCAATATCATTTTCATCATATGTTCGATTGTTTCCATGATGTAGAATTTCGTTTTGATGCTAATGTAGAAAACAAGTTGTGTGGTGGTACATTATTATTCTGATATGCTGTATCTTCCAAAGCATTTGTATTCGAACTCGAATCTTTACTCCCTATAGACTGGATGCTTCTCACTTGGGACATCTTCAAAATCGCCTCCATTTCGGTTTCCAACTACGACGAATCTTATTCCCTGCTCTCTCTTCTTCGACTCTCTTGGATCTCTGAGGTTTTGATTCTCCACTCAATCCCAATTTAGGAATTAAAGCGAACCAACAAGATCGTTTCAGTGAGTTTATTAACTCTCTTTTGTCTCGGTCAATTCGGTGTCTCTCTCTATTCTCACTGCGAGTCTTCGGTTTCCTGGTTCTCTCTGGGTCTTTCCGGTCTGTTCCTCCTGTACCTGCCTCCATCGAATTCCATCGAACTCTAGAACCACACTGTTGTTCCTTCCCCTCTATGGATGCCAGACCCGAACGATTTGGCTTCGCCGCGTGCTGGTCGTGCTGATTCCGATGACGCAGCTGGCCTTCGGAATTCTATCGAACTGTTATTTTAACCGATTGGTGTGCTCTGCGAACAGAGGATTGTGCGATTCGAGGAATGAATTCATTGTGTAGAAGCGTGTTGGCGAAGGGAGAGAGCGTGCTGCTCACGCTGTGCAGCGGCTTCGGCTTGCTGGTTGCGCTGCTTACGACGAAGGAGTACGATTTGTATAGTAAGGACTTTGACGAGCTGAACGCCCAAACAGAAGAGCGGATCAATCAGATCTTGCAGCACACGATTGTGTAGAGAAGAGAGATGAGATGATCTGACCCGTTCTTTGTAGATCAGGTCAGTTCGCTTGCTCCTATTGGCGTTGTTGTTGTTGTTGTTGCTGTTGTTTTTTGAACAAACAATCCACTCTAAGAACACTTGAAAGAGGAGCAGAGATCGCTCCTTCATTAGCTGAGAAAGCTGAATGCGAAGAGAAAGTCGCTGCGTATTGTTATCTTCCAGATCTACTTCTCACTCCCTTCTTTCATTCCCACTTTCGATCCGTTCTGAAATTCGCTTTTTCAGCGAAGCCAAATCAGCTTCCACCTGCTGAATGCATTCTTCCAAGACGGAAATCTGGTTTACATACTCCGAAAGATTCGCTTGTTGACCAAGCTTGACCAGCCTCACATACGACCTCTCCGCCTTCGCTTTCTTTTGATTCAAATCGCCCAACTCGTCGGTGAATCGCGTCTCATCGAGGAGATTGTTTCGAAGATCGTTCCGAAGCAGCACTTCCTCGTCGTGAATGTTTTTGATTCGCTCCAGCAGCACGCGGATGTCGGATGACAACTGCTCGTGCTTCACTTTGCACTCCTCCGACATTCTACATCTCAAACCGAGCAGCGAATGGCGAACGTCACGCGGCATCGATCCGAGAACTCACTATACAACTGTACATACGAAACCCGATCAATCTGCAGATCATTTCTCGACTCCTCCCCCACATCATGCAATGAAATCATGGTTTTAAAGAAGGCTTGCACTTCCTTTTCTTTTTGCAGATGCGAGAGACCCACATCATGGATAAAGCTCGATATCTGAACCAAATCGCTCTGTAAAATGATCTTTTTATACTGCAGCAGCAACGCCATGGTGACTCGAAAGAGGCCTGAGATTCCCACGATAAACAAATAGTCCCAGATCCGGAACACCAACGAAAACGGCATGTTGTTCGAAAAAAGCGGAATGAACCACCGGGTGACGATGATTGACAAGTCAAAACCGAGCGATTCTAAATGATCGCGAAGATCCGGAGCATAGCGACTAGGGAACAAAAGGAAAGCTAGCTGTACTCTAAATACTTTCGTAAAACAAACACGAATAAAGGGAGGTCTGGAAAGCCATACCCCCACAACCGAACCATCTGCAACCGATCAATCAGTAAAGACATGATCTCGTACATTTGGTTTCGGATATCTTCTGTGTCCAAACTACGTTCAACTAAAAAAGGCGATGGCCCACTTTCGAATTCGATATTGCAGTTCATCTGTGTCATTATCACTATAGTAGCCGTTTAGCTCGGGATCGACTAGAGCGATCATGATCGTTCCAGCGACGTAGTTCATTCCTTGGCAGTAGCCAAGTCCAAAATAATTGTCGCTCACTTTGCGAAGGACAGATTCTAAAATTGACTGGCCACCGTTCTCTTTGTGGCGGAATAAAAGGTGATGAGGAAAAGTGCGACAAACATCACGTGAAATCTCACCTTCGTTCTTATTCAAAAAGGGATTATACCATCTATATACTCGTCCTTCATTAGCCGCTCTCCGTGATAATGAGGGACAATATTGGTGAGAATGTCATCACGAAACTCAAAGCAATAATTGTCCTTACTAATAGGATAGAGTACTTCAGTAGAGTAGAGCTTCAAAACAAGCTCCCAGAAACTACCCATCAGAAAAACACCAGAAGCACAATACTGCGGAATAAAACGATTTGGTTTGCACGGATAGCGTAAAAAGGGCAGAATATTCTCGGGTTTACCCAATCCTATGCGTTACTGTTCACTGTCCGCATTCCACTCTTTCGAGATTGAATTCCGATTTTGCATAGGGAGATAAAGTCAAATCGCTACAATCAAACGAAACTCGCTCGAAGCCTACATCGAAGAAACTTGAAGACAAGCTGATGACTTCAAATACCTTCTCAGACCTAGACTTCTCCATTAGTGATCGAGTTGATTGGTAATAAAAGAAAACTTAAACTAAACAAACATACAAACACAATTCATTCCACACATTGACATAGGAATAGCACGAAAACAACACGAACAGACGACGATACCACAGAAATTGGGTACGGTGCAAGGACATGGCTCTCCAGCTCATGAGTGGAGACCACACACGAAATGTGTAAGCAGAGCTCATTTGAAATGGACCCAAATATTTGGTGAGCAAGTTTGCAGATTTCAAATATCTTACAGAAATGTTATTGTTTGAGCAGTAGCTTGCGACTGCAGAATGTGCAGATATATGGTTCACATGACCCGACACCCCAAAGGCATCAAAGGTGAAAATCTATTGAAGAGTAGAAATTGAAAATACTTCCATAACGTTCCATTTTTCGACAGCAGATTGAAGGATCTGGACAGTTTTTGTTTCATTCCAGGTGAGAGTCGGAGAATCCTGAATAGAATGATCGTGAACAATCTGAATATGGGTAGGGTCAACGGACAAGAAAGTTAGGGCAGAAAGTAACTCTTTTTCACGAATGTCTCCCAAACCTTCGAAATCCCCTTCATATCAATCATGTGCACCTTTAATACCATTCGTATAATACAAAAAGTAAAGTGTGGACTTGTTCAGAGCGAGGATGGTGGGGATCTAGTGATAAACACTGATTACTTCTACCATAAACATGGACTCATCGTCCGGATGTGCCAACACAAACAAACAATTGTGATCGGGAACGATTGGCTTTTTCACTCTCACTAGAGCCCCCGATAACCACACCGCAAGAATGGCCAGGATTCCAAAAACCCGATTCATAATTCGTTTTTGTTCACTTCGTACACTTGAAGTATGTTCAGTACATTTTTATTTTTGAAATGCCTTCCAGAACGGAATTGTATGACATTCTTGGAGTATCTAAAGATGCAACTGATGCGGAAATCAAGGTTGTGATGATAACCTTCACTGAAAGATAGAAAGCATACCGATCCAAAGCTTTAAAATACCATCCAGATAAAAATCCAGGCGATAAAGAGGCCGAGAAGAAGGTATTTCTGTCAATACTGTTGAACTTCAGTTTGTGGCGATCAAAGAGGCGTATGATATATTATCCGACCCACGCAAAAGGGTAGTTTGTCAGTTTGCGTTGTGATGTAGGCACTTTATGACAAGATGGGAAAAGAGGCAGTCGATATGATGGACAATCCGTCTAACATTTCTCAGGAGACATTCATGGCGATGTTGCGAACCTCCTCAGTTTCCATACGTTGTTCTATTTTTTCGCTCCTTTTGTTTTTGCTTCTCGGGTCGATATGGTTCGTTTGTACACAGCACTGACAGAAATCAAATATAGTAACATTGTGCATGCGGATCGATGAATGGATAACTTGGCCATGGTGGGTCGTTATGCTGCCAGCCTTTGTCGTGGATGCATTTTTACTCTACATGTGCATCGGCACTTTCCCCATTCTTTTTGCAAAAATGAAGGAAAACAGAACACTGGATGAGTCGGAGCGTCTCCCGATTTCCTACCCGCTCCTCATGAACATCAATGTCATCATCTTTGTGGTGGCCCAGATCTGCTTCGTGCTGTGTCTCGACAAGGTTTGGAAGGTGAACTTCACGACCGCCCTCATTCCCTACTTCATCTACGCTCTCAAATATATCTACATGCCGTTTTTGAATTCCTACGAGGGGCAGAACAAACTCCGAGACTTCTTCGACGAGTTCTCGAACGTGATTATCGCGCTCACCGTCTATCTGGTGGCCGCGAAGCACGATGGGATCATCAGCTGGGACTGGGAGCTCACCTTCCTGTTCGTGTGGATCTACTACGGACTGCAGATTTTGGTGGCGCAGTGCATGCGATGCGGCCTGCAGGCGACGGGAACGGAGGTGTGGATGGGAAGAGAGACTGAACAGTAGGAGGGAGGGCTGCTCTCGATGGCTCTGGGCTGTCACACGTGTGTGACCATCGTGAAGATCCTCGTGGCGGTGTGTTTGTTGATGAAGATCTCGGGGAAATGGAACTGGAAGTTCACTTGGTTCGCCATCCCCGTAGCGATCATTGTAAGCGAAAAGGGAGGATTGGACCGTAGGCGTTGTGCTTCGCCTCGATGTTCCTCTGTTCGGTGAGCGCTGTGCTGTTTGGAAATGGCGGAGTCGTGATGGAAGATCCTTCCGATTTTAAGGAGCCATTTGAACCCACGCAAGCGACGACTGTTTCAATGGAGACCTCTGTGGATATCGACTAATTCTTCTTTGTTCAACAAACACGCAACGCCACGTTCTCTCCATCCCACAGATCCTTCCATGTGAAGGGTGCTGGGAGCAGGAAAGCGCCATTGCAGAATCGATGATGCCGATCCATCGCTCGAATCTCTCTCATCTCCTCCTCCGTCAATTCGAAATCGAACACGTCGCAGTTCTGCACGATTCGCTCAGGCGACGAGGACTTTGGAATGCACACCGTGCCTCTCTGAATCGCCCAGCGAATCATCACCTGCGCTGTCGACTTGTCGTATTTCTCTGCGATCGTTCGGAGAATGGGATGTTTCATGAGCGGTTCTTCTCGCTGGCCTGTAGCATTCGCGGATCCGCCGAGTGGATAATACGCGGTCAGGAAGATGCCCTGTGAATCACAGAATTCTTTCAGCTCCCATTGCTGTAAATAGGGGTGGAGTTCGACTTGATTCATGGCAGGCTTGATCGTGCAGAAGGAGAGCAAATCCTTCAGTTTCTTCGTTGTGAAGTTCGACACACCAATGGAACGAGCTAGTCCGCTTTCTTTCAGTTTCTCCATTGCACCCCAGGTTTCTTTCAAATTCTCAATCTGATAACCCAAACGACGACCCGGTTCATCGGGCTGAGTACCATTGTAGTCAAAGAAATATCCCTCTTGACGTTTCTTTTCTTCGTCTTCGGGCAGATTGCATGCACCTGGCCAGTGAATGAGGTAGAGATCAATGTAGTCGGTCTGAAGGTCCGAAAGACATTGCCGAATAGCCTTCTCAACGTTCTCTTTCTTCCAGTCCACCACCCAGAGTTTGGTGGTAATGAAAAGATCTTCACGCTTCACCAGTCCTTCTTCGATACATTGCTTTATCGCAGTCCCGATTGCTTTGCCATTATTCTGGAAGTTAAAGACTTTTGGGTGAATGGAAAGGATATGTAGTAGGAGGCAGTATCAATCATGCGGTATCCACATTTGATGGCGGCTGTTACGCATTTGATGGTTATTTCGTCGGTTGTTTCCCAAGTTCTATTCATGAAGTGGACTGTTTAAAAGCACCCCAAACCGATCACAGGCATCTCATATCCAGAATTGAGTTTTACCGTGGAAGTCAAATCCAGCATAGTAACAAAATATGGTAAATTGGGTTGAAGTGTACAATTGTTGATCATTTGACATGATATTGAATAGGAGTGGGTAACTAAGATGGAGTCTAGTAAGAAGGATAACGAGTCTGGTTGTTTTGAGGTAAGAGATAAGAAACTTAGGTTTTGGCTTTTATGAGTTGTTTTTCATTATAGCTGAATGTTGAAAATAGTCTTGCATGATATATCATAAGATTGAACATTGATAAGATGATTTGCAGAGTAATAATGCAAGCAATAGTTGTGACTCTTGAGTGAATAATAAATAAACGAATGACAATAGGAAGTAAGAAATTAAATATGGATCATGGATATATGGTATATGTATGAACGTGATGAGTAGCGAGGAATAGATCAGAACCATATGGAGATAGTAAAAAGCCAGTGAAGACACTAGAAATGAATTCCTTGTACAAAATGAATCACTTCCAACAAAAAAGGGTTGATCATCCGATATAGCTGATAGTTCTTTTACATATTAACTCTAATTATTCTATCCTTGCTCTTGATGGGTAATGCAAACTCAGTTGTCTTTCATATACTATTTTTACCAGTAAGCATAAATATACATAAAGAAAATTGAAATGATGGTAATAAAAAAGTGAATTGATGCTCATTTTTATTAGTTCACATTTTCTTTTATAATCAGTTATTACCAATCGCTAGAATCTATAAAATGAAAATAGGATGGTAAAAAGGTTGAAGGTTGGTAATTCAAGGTTAATATACCATATTCACTCCTATATAATGGAACAATATCAGTAAATAAACCAAGTATCGTTTGAATTATTAGCGTGTAGTGAATCGTGCTTGTTTGTCGAAAATGTGAAAAACGAATTCACTACTATAAAACAAATCATATTCAAACGAATGGTTAAGAAGCAAAAAGGATAATTCGTCTAACCAAAACAAGCAAAGGTATATCGTTATTCTAAACTACTCTAAGGTATAAAACAGATGAATGTTATTTTGTAATATTTCTGTATTATGAGTGACAATACTGTGTGAGTAAACCTTTCTATTTAACTAACGATAGGTCATCCATATAATATAATTCTTAAAACTACAGTAACTCACAAGGCTCAATAGAAAAATCGAATCGATGCTCTTGTACAATAATTATTGATTATCAAGAAATCGTTATAACAATATATAACTACACAAAACACAAAAATTTAAATGAGTAATTTGACAAAAGGCGGAAAACTTGCTTCTAACATAGAATTAGCTTCAATTAAAGTCGAAGGTGGTGGAAACGGCGACGCTGATAATTGGTGGGAATATAATGTCTCTGAACAGTTTCCTATAAAGTCCGTGAAGGAAGAAAATGGAAAAGCACGTATTGAAGTAGATAAGCCTCACGAAGGCTGTACGATAAGAACAACTCTTAAAAACTCAAAAATGGATGGTGAATCAAGTATCTATTCCAAGAAGAACATATTGATGGCAAGTTTGACTTTTGTGGAAGGAACAGCTTGTGGACCTTGCACAATCTATAAGAATGGCTTGGTATACTTTCGAGGTTATTTTAAGAATGGACGTCGGGAAGGTCGAGGAAAAGAATATGACAGAAATGGGAATTTGATATCTGATGGATTTTATTCGAAAGGTGAGAAACTGAATATAGAACCATTATCAGAAATGGGAAAAGAAGGCTATTGGAAAGAGTGTGATGAAAATGGTAAATTGATTCGAATTTGTCAAAAAGATGATTTCGGAAACAATGAAGGATATTGTTATTATTACAATAATGAAGGAAAGAATCTAGATAGATTAGTTCATTTTAAAAATGGATCTGAAAGTTTATACAGTGGATTATTCAAATTATATGATGCATCTCATAAAGTATGGTTTGAAGGTAATTTTGAAAGTGGATATCGCGAAGGTCGAGGAAAAGAATATGACAGAAATGGGCAACTTGTTTCTGATGGATATTATTCGAAGGGTAAGAAACTGAATATAGAACCATTATCAGAAATGGGGAAAAAAGGCTATTGGAAAGAGTGTGATGAAAATGGTAAATTGATTCGAATTTGTCAAAAAGATAAAGAGGGAAACAATGATGGTATGTGTTATTCTTATAGTGCTGATAAGATAAGTCGTATTAGTCTATGGAAAGAAGGTAAAGAAGTGGCTCTATTGAAACAATTTAGTTCCAATATAATGACGGAATATAAAAATGGCCACAAGATATATGAAGGAGAATTCTTGAATGAAATACGAATGTGCTATCCAAGAAATGGAAAAGGTGAAGAATATGACAAAGATGGAGAATCAATGATATTCCAAGGCAATTATAAGAATGGTAAACGTCATGGAAAAGGAATAGAATATGATAATGGTGTAGCTAAAAAAGAGAGAGAATGGATAATGGGTCATCGTATGGAAGAAATATGGATTATTCAATCAATAATGATGATTTTAGTAATAGTTTTTATTATAATTAGTTTTAATGTTCAAGTAGTAATTGGTTCTATTCTATTGGGCGTGCTATTATTGTATTTCGTGTCTCTCTGGAAATGTCAGGAATGGCTTAGTGAAAGAGTTTGTATATTCTTTGATTTTGACGATTCGATTAATAGTTTTATCGAGCGATTTTTAACAGTTGATAAAAAAAGCAAAACGTGTAAATCAAAATACAAGAAAGTTATGAGGAATATACTAGAAAATTGTTATTTGTGTATGATTGTTATCTTGGTTATTGTAATTATCATTTTCATTATCTACAGTATAATAGATTACTACTATGGAGGACCACATGGTATTAAAAGTAACCAAGAATCATACATTGTTGGAAATGGATATGGAAACCAATTTAAACGATTTAAAATATCGAATTATCCAAATCTAAAAACAATCGAGATAGGAGATGATAGTTTCGGAAAGGCGACTACATTTGTAATCGATGGGTTAAGAAGTCTACAAACTATCAAAATCGGAAGGAATTCATTTACTAGTGTAATAACAATACAATTATCAAATTTGAATTCTTTGGAATCAATCGAAATCGGCGATGAATGTTTTGGATCAGTGCAAACATTCCAAATCGATGGATTGAATCGATTGAAAACTATCAAAATCGGTAGCAATTCATTTACTCAACTGAAGCAATCTAACTGGGACTACGAGAAGGCGGACAACAAATCGAAATCATTCCACATATTGAATTGTGAATCATTGGAATCCATTCAAATTGGTCAATACAGCTTCAGTGATTTTGCTGGCGACTTTGAATTGAAGAATCTACCACAATTACAATCCATTCAAATTGGCACAATTGGAAGTGTATCACGAAATTTCTATCATAGTTCGTTTGTGATTCGAGGTATTGATATGATAATGAATATTTGAATAATGCATAGATCTTCCAAATCTACAATCTATCACCCTAGGTGACTCTGCGTTTGGAAATAGTACTGAATACTGTCTGCACAATCTCAATTCATTAGAAACAGTTGAAATCGGCGATGAACGTTTTGAATCAGTGAAAACATTCCAAATCGATGGATTGAATCGATTGAAAACTATCAAAATCGGTAGCAATTCATTTAATCAATTGACCACTGATTTCTTGAGTAATCCTCATTCTGCATCAGAATGGATGGAGAATAGTGATAAATCGAAATCATTTCACATATTGAATTGTGAATCATTGGAATCCATTCAAATTGGTCGATATAGTTTTGGTGATTTTGGAGGCGAATTTGAATTGAAGAATCTGCCACAATTACAATCCATTCAAATTGGCACAATTGGAAGTAGTTCAAGCAATTTCTATGGTAGTTCATTTGTGATTCGAGGTATTGATATGATAATGAATATTTGAATGATGCATAGATCTTCCAAATCTACAATCCATTACATTAGGTAAATGGGCATTCGCTGTTTCTGTAACAACAATAATTGAAAGTATTGAATGAATTCGAATGAAATGATTGATGCAGATCTTCCATCATTACAGAAAATTGAACTGAGTTATTGTGCACTTCGTGGAAGAGATGATGATGATTCATGTTCATTGACACTTCGAAGTAATAATGAGTTGATTGGTTATGATTTGCTTTGTAGATCTTCCAAATCTAACATCAATAACTTCCAAAGATTGGAGTTTCCAATATCCTCGTGTAGTGACATTGGCAAGTATTTCTGAATATTGAATATTGATAGATTTTAGATATTCCAAATCTTCAGACTGTCCATCTACCTATTTCATTCCAGAGAGTTCGATCGAAATCAATTTCGAGTATAGTTTGATTGATTTGATTTGATTCATAGATGTTCATTGGAGACTCGCTGATCTTGTCGAAATCGATGAGTAATTCCAGCATTGGATCTACACAAATCACTCCATTCCATTCCATTCCACCCAATGATCATTGTATATTCAATGCTTACCTTGTTTGTTCCAAAACCCCTTACCGTCACTCTTTGGTCATTGATTTAGGATCCAATCATCGATTGACTCTTTTCCATCATCACAACCCAGATTGGTTTAGCTAGCATGTTCCAATCCTTCGTGTAACGATGTTAAGAATGAAAATAAGGAATAATTGAAAAACGAAAAAGCAAAACTGAGACAATCGAGTATATTTTAATGTTCAGAATAGAAATGTATTATACTGGGCATCTTTCTCTATTCCAAACGATTGAATTGAGACGATCAAGTGAATTTACTGGATCGTACTGGATAGTCTCATAAAATAGTTATTTCTCACAAACACTCAGAGACTGGAATTGAGTGTGAATGGAACTTGTTGTTTCGATTTGATTTGTGTGTATTGTATGAAGACATGCACATAGAATAATCGTATCTAATGGATCTGTCACTATTATGAGAATTGAAACAAATTGCCGATGTATTGTATTAGTATAATCAGTAACACAATGGATAGAAGAAATAAAGCAGTATGCAAGCGATATAGTTGCTGTATGTAACAAACACCTTATTAAACCTTGTTATAGGAAAATACTATTTAACAATAATAATTAGGATAGATTTCACTTATTAATCCTAATCGTCCAATCCATATATTCATTCACTATGTCACCCTGTTGTTATTGCTATTTCTTACTTATTGTACTGGCTGTATAAGTGTGCGATACTTGTTGCTATGTTTCTTACCTGTAATATAGAAAAATACAATCTCTATTTCCAACTGTGAGTTAATTATATTTAGTACTATTATTGTTTTCTATGGTACTTCCACTATTACCCTATCATTATATAAAACCATTTAGACTAACAAGTATATAACAACGATTCTTGTTTGTTATAGTAATTCTCTATGTGCTATCTCTTGTTCTATTCTTATATTATATGATGAATCAAATAATTCCTACATTAGTTCACATAGCAATTGCCTATGAATCGTAAACTTTTGTTTTTCAATCCCTTAGTGTTGTTTCTATGATACTGGTATCCAAAGCGAATGTGAATCTTCTTACTTCTATATTCCATTTGCCATTTTCTTCAAAACTGTCTTTTTTCTTGAAAAGGCTTGTATCAACCTACCAAATCATAATAGTAGTATAGGAATGGCGCGAATATCGCGCGAAACCATTTTCGACCCTTTTCCCGCGGTGAACTATATTTTCGTCCAAAGTCGCCTTTTCTCTATCTGGCTGCCTATTTCTACCATTTCTACCTCGTTGGTCATAACAAGAAACGCGCGGAAACCGACGGTTGCCATTATGGCTAATTTCTGCCATTATAACCTGGCCTCCTTTTTAGACCATTATATGCCTAGCTGTCTCGATGCCCAAAGTGTAAAATTGTTTCCCTTACTTCAATCGGTAATGTCCAAACGCAAGTGTGTGCACGTTGTCGTCCAAGATCCAACGCTTGCTATCGGTGCACGTCATAAGGGTCTTGGTCTGCTCCTTCGTGCTGATATCGAAGGCCTGGTTGTTGATGCGTTTGAAGCTGCCTTCGATCACTGCATCCTCCTTCTTCTCTGCCTCGAGGACACGCTTGTACAAATCGATGTTCTTCACACTCATCCTCTCACCATCGATCACCACATTGCGAGGAACTCCCTTTGCTGCGTTGTGTATCACATGCTTTTCATCAACCAAGCAGTACATCTTCGGTCTCAGTCCAACGAACTCCGTGATACGATGTCCGTTGTGCTCGTCCTTGAAGATGGGACCAGGCAACTTCTTGTTGAAGATGAGGAACGAGTCCAATGAAGGGAACTTGCTCTTGTCCACTTCATGCTCGTAATACTTCACGAGTTCACCATAGAAGTAGCTCGTGTTGTCCAATTCCGAGAAGTCGAACGATTTGTACATGTCACACATCTTGTGAACGATGTTAGCGCGATCGTGCAACTGCACGATGAGTGAATCCGTGTCCTGTCCCAACAGCTCCACGTTATCGAATGTCGTCTTGAGCACATTGCAGTAGAAATCATAGATGATGTGCTTGGGCATGTCCAGAATGGCGAACCCGATGAAGAATGGCTTCTCCACCCTGCGAACCGGTGTATTCAACTTAATACCGATCAGATTCTCGGAATACATGGTAGTCCCGGCGATCATATCGTACCCATGCTTCTGAATGATGGCTTCACGTTCATTCCATGTGTTAGCGAACTTCACTTTCATCCGTTTCAACCCAGTCTCAACGAATTTGCCATAGGTCGAGTTTGCCAACAGCTTGTACAGGCTCTTCTCCACGGTGGTCTTAGACTTCGCTCGTTTCTCACTCAGCATGTTCACATACTCGAAGATGAACGGTGCCTGCTTGAATCGAATGATGTGGTGAATGTGAGTGACACGATATCCCTGTTGAATGCCCAGTTGCAACAGAGAGTAATGTACGAGATACTTGCGACGAGGTACAAGATCGCAGATGAGCTTCGGTGTATTCACCTCTTTCACTTTGTCCACAATGTCGTTCTTCTCTGCGTACTTCTTGATTCCATCGGAGTACATGCCTGCCTTCTGTACGGGGAAGAATGGCAGATCATTGAACTTGTCGTGGAATTCCACTGGTGCCTCGATATCACACTCGATAAAGAATCCATACTTGCCGAACGTCTTGAGTGATTGCACCCACCCATTCGGGTCACGATTGATCTTCTCCATCACTTCTCGTCGCTCAGGTACACCCACCAACTCGTAAGGCATCATTCGATGCATGGCTCCACCGTACAGGTTGTTGGCGTCCAGGTAGTAGATGCCTTGGGACGACGTTGCTTGCTCCTTGTTGTCAATGTCAACCTTGGCATGCCGTTTCACGATCTGTGTGATGCCTCCTCGCAGGTTCTTCAACAATCGCATGAAGTCATCGATATCATTTGTCTCCATCAATCGAATGCCCTTGCTCTCATAGAATTCACCCATGCGATTCAAGAACAATTTCACCAGTTGTTTCTCGGCGAGTCCCTCATTCGCGTTGATGCGCATGATGTACTGAGCCCATTTCCTTGCGAGGGTCATGAGGCTACTCTCACTATGATCGCCCTCCATTGTGACTTTCAAGAAGAGCGAATAGGCCATTTGCGGTGCTGTGATGTAATGCATTGGATCAACACCGAATGCATTCAGTGTGGTAACGCGAAAATGCTCGAATGCATCAGCCATGAGAGTCACATCGAGTACATTGTACAATTCGTAGTACTCACCCCATGTCTTGATATCGAAGGTCTTCCACAGCTTCACCATGTGATCATACTCGTCTTGGGGCATCATCTCTCCCTTTATATCATCAATGCATTGCTCACGAGAAGGAATGACGGTGTTGTTCAATGACTCGTATGATTTGATGAGGCTGTAGAACATGGGTTCTTTCCGTGTCAACAGATTGATGTATTCATCACTCCATTGCTTGCCTCGAGACTCACAGTACTTGCATAGTTGTTGTTTGGTGTACACGTACAAATCGAGGTTCCCTCCGAGTGTCTGCGCGACGATGGATCGAAGGGGGCTGCTGATGAGCTTCAACGAGTCCTTGAATTGAATGCCATTGTACTCGATCTGCATTTCCTTGTCCTCAGTAGTTGGAATGACTTCGAGATTCCCGCCAGGCATCGTCGCGATGATCTTCATGATGAATGTGACATCGTAGTGCGATCCATTGTGGAAATACACTGGCAGACGATAGTTCTTCTTGTTGAATGAGAGTTGGAGATTACACTTGGTACAACAAATACAGATGTACTGCCCAGTTTTGAAGCTGCATATTTTTCCCTTCCCTGTGGTGTATACACCTGCCACATGTGCGTGATGTCTAACCTTGTCGTCCTCCAGTTTCTTGCGACAGAAGGGACACACGGTTGTTGAACGAAAGTCCTTCTCGACCTTCGATATGCTCTCCAATGGCAATTCATCGAAGACATACGTTTTCACACTCCCTTGCAATTGCACGAGATACTCCATGAAAGGACGAAGCTCTTCTTCGCTCTCGTGTGGTGCATGGAAGACTCTCAGTTGAGTCTGGATGGCAGGGATACGAGACACGGCTAGACAGGATAACATGATTGGCTTATGTCTGTTATCGTCATCAATGGCCGACTCGAAGTCAGCGTACACGACGACCGGTGCTGGCATTTCGTATCTCTGGTTTGTGAATCGCAACCGAGTTTCCTCGTTCGACAACTCGTACTCTTCGCTTTCATTGACGAGTTCTCGATGTGCTTGTACTTCGTGATCATGAACGGCTTTGTGAGATCCGAAGAAGTCGTCACAGAATCTGCATTTCACGTTTCTTGCGAGATGTCTATTCTTCACATCACTCTGACGAAAGATGCGATGTTTGAAATCATTCAAGTCCTTGATGTACAAGAAATGCTTGGGAGTGCCCTCGGGTAGATTTAGATCGTTCAAGATGCAGAGGGACAGAAGAGGACATGCTTTCTCCTTGCTTTTGTACACGACATCGCATGTGAATAAATCGAATTGCTCCTTCGTCTTATCGGTGTATCCAGGCAAGAGTGTGACCTCGAATACATTGAATGAGACTTTCAACAATGCCGCCAATGCGGCGAATTTCTCTTCACTCGCGTTGAAGGGTGCATTGTCGCGAATGTTCATCGCCTCCTCCACTTCGTGAATGGTCACTCCGAATACTTTGTACTTATTGGGTTGTTTCCACCACTTGTTGTACACGGTTGCATCGCCCATCTTGCGATTTGCAATAATCTTGTGTCCGCCTTCACTTGCCAGAATGAGACACCGTTGCAGGCATCGGTTGTCATTGATATTCGGGTTGACCGCCGTCTGTCCAATGATAAAAGGTGTGTGGTGCTTGTAGCCCACGAATGTCCGTAGTGGGAACATCTCGACATGGAAGCCGATCCACCCATGGTACACGAACCCGCTTCCCTCTGTCTCCTGTTCCTCTACACCATTTCGGTACCATTTCAAATAGTCCTTGATCCACTCATCGATACGATCTCGGCGAACGATGCGGAGGTGTCCCAATCGATCATTGGTGAGGTAGAGAATCTTGGGATCTCTGTCATGTTCAACATGAGGTTGTATGCCATGATTGTGACGAAACACTGGTTGTACTCACGCATACCAGTCATGATGTACTTCTTCACGATCTCATTGAACTCCTCGCTCTCATCGAATACGAGGTTGATCGGTTCCACTTCCTCATCGCCCTTTTCACCAGGTAGTCGAACCCACAGTCTCTTGTCATCATCGTTATTGAGGCGAAAGTCCTTCTTGGTACGTTTCTCTTTCATCCATTCCTTGTACATGTCTCCTTCCACAGTGTGATAGTACGTGAGTGCATACCCGAGTGACGAGTCGATCACATCACTCAAGCGTCCCTGTGAGACCTTGCGATCGAATCGTTCGAATGCCTAATGGCGCCTCATTTCACGCCTTTTCTCCACGGTGTTCAGGTAAGCGGGTAGGTGACGTTGTCGCTTCTTACCGAACTCATGCCCGTTCCACTCGTACAGGTTTTACAGCTCATTCCATGCCTTGCTTCCTACGAACACGTACTTCTTCTCGTTTGTAAGGTCAGTCACTCGTTTACGACGTGTTACCTGTGCTTTCGGCGTTGATAGTTTCATCCCGAATATCTTGTTCGACAGATACACTCGTGAATCAGGAATGGTCTGATTGGTGAACGTATCGCCGATCATGTAGTACTTGGCGACCAATCGCTTCCAGGTCGACCCACCGATCTTGATTTGTTTCCCGGTCTCAGGGTTGATAATATATTCGTCGCGATGTGAACTCATTTATATAAGGGTCACAAAGTTTATAAGTGAATATACACGCGCGACCAAAGTGAATTAGTTAGGAGACCAACGTGGGGAAGCGAAGCTTCCCCGGGAGACGACGAAGTCGTCTCCCTACGGTCTTCCTAGAATGGGAAAATGGCATGGCCATCTTCGTCATATTCGAATTCATCGATGTCGACGTACTCAGACTCGGACGAGGAATCGTCTGAATCATCGTTTGCGAATATCTTGTTGATGTCTGGATCATTATCGTATGCTTTGGCTTCTTCTTTAGTCATCTTCACCCATTGTCCTTTCACGAGTCTGTAAGTGTCTCGGATCAACTCATTGAATGCTGTGCCACCAATGATAATACGTTTATTGGTGGGTGATAACATTCTCGACTTTGAGAACGTACTTCGTCGTACCCTCAGGCAATGGTTTGTCGTACAAGCGATTCAATTTCTCGTCGTACTTGAATCCACGCTTGAGAAGGTTCCAGAAGCGAACTCCGTTGATTTGAATTTCTCGTCCTGTATTGGGGTTCAATGTGTGAGTAGGTCTGTCCATTTATATATTTATATTTTTCCCTTTAATCCTCGTTATCCCCTTCCTAAATGAAGTACAAGAAAACAGAGAACAACACATGGTCTTCCCTGGTACGCACTTGTAAGGACGAGAATATCGAACTCGCCGATATCATCATCCATACCAAGTATCCGATCAATTCAGAGCATCTATTCGGTTTCAGTGTTCGCATCCCGCGATCGAATGTCAACTGTGGCCTGATCTTGCACGACTATGATTGCGTGGAGATGACGTTGGACGAAACTCGTCCTCCCTTGTTTACCGAGGATGAATGGGAGTATCTATTGCCTCAATTGAAATCCAATGGTCTGCTGGGTGTGCCTCTGAACGTGTTTTGGAGGAATGATTTACTGCCTCTTAATATTATCGGTGTAATGACCGAGAATCGTGCGGTTTATTTCTTCTCCAACTACTATGTTCGCGTGGTCTACAAGGTCGTGAATGATGAATACCCGCCCGAGTTGTCCGATCTGTTCATCGATGATGGCGCGTGTCTGAAGGGTGTGTACGTTCGTGCATATCAACGAAACAATCCAAAGTAAATAAGTAAATGTCGTACATCTTCAGCAGCAATGGAAACAATTACACGTTCAAGAAGCTCGATAACATGCTTATCAATATGCCAGAGAAGGACGGTCATCATATGCTAATTCGAGAGACAGTGGATGGTGTTCCTCAGTATTCGTGGGGCAGTGCTTCATGCATCGTGAAAGCGAACGAAGCATTTGTCTTCGAGTACACACCAGAAGCTACCGAATCATTCAATGGCGAGTGGGGTGGTGATGCTATGCCACCTATGCCGTCCGGATCATACCTGGTGACCACGAATGTCATAACGTACCTTCCCGATGACATGTTCAACGATTGCGACTCAATCGAATCGGTGGTTGAAAAGGGTTATCGAGTGCTAGTCACGTTTGACAATACGCCTATCCTAGACAGACCGTACATCGATACATTGAATAGTCTTGCATCTCATACTGGTTATGCTGTTGTAAATGTTGGTACCTCTCCTGTCCTTCGTACGTATTCGAATCTTCCTATCATGCTTCTCGGTGGTGTGAAGAGCATCACGATCGTTTTCGAACATCTTTCTTCTGGCTCCTCGTAATGGGTCGATGTGATGTTGCTGCCTCTCTCAATGCATTGGGTTCCTTTCGACTCTTGGATCGAGTGATAGGCGGTGCTGGTTGTGGTTTGCATTTGCTAGCCAGGAGTTTCCAATCATAACACTTCTGTGTGCGGTTGTTTCCATCTTTCACTTCGTACATCAATGGCATGATGTGATCGTCAATGTCAACCACTTCAACCAAGTCCTGAGACCATTTGCTCGTCAATGATCGCTTTTCCAGAATGCGAGGTCTTCGTGTCACTCGAACATAATCACCCACATCGAATTGAGGTGTTGTGTCCTTTGCTGTCATGTTGGATGGTTCTGTTTTCTCCGTGTACAAGATGTTGTTGTTCCAAATGTCATTGGGTGTATATCCGATGTCTCTGTTCTTCCTTGCATTATGTCTACGAACTGTACCATCGATCAAGTCGAACCATACATTTTTCGATTGATTGAATGAGGAAGGGGAACCATGATGTGTTCCTTGATATCTCGAATTGCTCGTTCAGCTAGTACTGCCTTATTCGCTGAATCCATGTGATACATGCTGATATCATACTTGTTCAAGATGTTGGTACGAAAGATGGCATTGGTGAACTCGGTACCTCGATCCGAGCAAATATGCTTTGGTGGTCCGTATGTCTGAATGATGTCCTTCATCGCATGCGTGACTTCTGTAGCACTCTTGCTTATCAGTTTCCGAGTCATCAGGTATTTCGAATATCCATCAATACATACAAGGACATACTTGTATCCACGATTCTTGTAGAATCCGGTACTCTTTTGTCTTCCTAATACTTTCTGTATCGATTTGTGTTGTTTTGAATAGAAATCGATAAGATCGATGAAGTATATGTTTCCCTTGAATCCACTGATGATCACTCGAGTTGCACCTCTTCATTTTGGTGGTTTCCATAGTTCCTTGATTTCGTTCTTAAATGAACCGCTTTATTCAATGGTTGAAAGGGTTGTGGAAAAAAATGAGTAAGAGAAAAAACCACAAACTGGTGGTGGACTCGAAATGCAAGGACAGATGTCACTGCCTGTGCGTGTATAATGAGAAGAATGAATCAAGTGACGACAGTGGAAGCGATATTTCCATGAGTCCAACAGAGATTAAAGTGAAATGAGGGGAAGCTTCGCTTCTCCCTGCTTCCTTTTTTCACTTTGGCTTTACACTTCCATGATGCTTACCTTCAGTCGAGTGAAGTAATGTTCGATCGTGGTGTCTCCAGAACGTATGACTTGAATTTTCATATCTACAGGGGCGTACTGATGTGAATATGTTCGTGCTACTCAATGTCGTTGTTGGTACTGGATTATTCAAGCTTGCTTTAATGATTGTAGCTGTCTCGACACCCATTACGAGAGTTGGCACGCTCGTGAATCCTACAAGTGCCTGTTCATAGTTGTCACAACGAAGTACGGCATCGATGGTGATCATGTACGTCTTGTTGGGTTCCAATTTGATGGGTGCAGAAAGGTCCGAACCTTCC